TTGCACACCTCATATCCTGACAAGCGATGCCCATTATCCAGTCTATCGCATAGTTGAATACTGTGGTGGAAAGGACGCAGTCTTGACAGACACCAGTTTTTATTTCAAAGGAGTTTGTCAGTTCACCATATACACAGATACCTACTTGCTATGCCAAATGCCTTTATGAGCCGAAAGGGAAACGGTCACATTCCATCATTTCCTGAATACTGCTATATCTATCGAATCGAAGACAACTGCAAAATCCATAAAGAAGTGATGGTGGGTTACTGGTATTTATAAATATCTGGTCAGCGCAACCTCGTCCCGGTCTTATTCTATCTTGGTTATGACGCAGTCTGCTATCTCTTGTTGCCATGAACCTATTTAGCAGAAGGGAAGCGAAAATTTTTCCTGAGATGTCTACTAAGTTGATTCTCCGATGATTATCGCACTACGTCCTGCCATCTTTCTTAGGAATCAGAAGCAGAATTATTCCAGTCTTCTGAGATTATTTCCTTTTGTCATAAAAGAGAGTACACTTATTGAAGATAAGTTACGATGACGGACAATATTTAAAGAGTTCAGCCCGGGAACCATCTTCTCTGGGAGTTTTATTGCCCTTTTAAGCTTATGGATTATAAAGATTTCCTTTTCTGCTGGCTGCTAGTAATTGCAAACGTATGGCTCAATGAGCGAATCAACTATATCCGAGACAATAGATGGTGCATCGTGGTTGAGTTTGGCCTCAAATATTTATTCCATCTTATGAGGCGATCCTTAATAGATTTAACAGACGCCCCATTAATAATTCGTATCAGTTCTCGAGTTTCAGTTGGTTTGCAAAAAAGGCGAAATAGTTTCCTATTATCACCTAACCAAGGAGCAGTTTCAATTCTCAAGGCTATATTGCTCCAATAGCGATTTATGTCTCCCCATGCTACTGTCGTTGTAATTCTTCGAAGCACCCAATATTCAGGATCTCCTGATATTCGGACTTTGGTAGCTTTTTCAGACATTTGGACAGTTGCTTCCGATACCCAACTAGTGCATTTTCTACTAGTATGACTTACTATGGAAATGGTTGACTTTTGTAAGTATGTCTTTGGTTAGGACCAGTATCCATTTATTTTATTTATTTTATTTTCCTAGCTCGCTTACTTAAAAATAAATAAAAATAACGGATTTTGCATCGAAAATCCAGTAAATAATACGAAATACCATTCAATGCAATATTTATAATAAAAATTAATAAAATAGCTGAGATAATATGGAAAAAAGTAAAAAGATAAATGGCTCCACTAGTTGCTAGTATTATTAAAAATTATTATCAGAGAGTCGACTGGCGATAGAATAGATGAATGCCACCCACATTTTTTGACATATTTTCTAAAAACAACCAAAAATCACTGCCAATTCTCATGAAATAAGGAAATAATCCTAAAAATTATGAATTAAACTAGTTCATTTCGCAACGAAGTAAATTTTGAAGTTTCTCCAAATCCACTACTCTCTACTACTACTACTCTCCCTGGAAGTAGGGACCTTTGTCTTTAACAAAATGTCTCAACCAATACCCAATCGGCTACCCTTCCCCGAAATCATATGATAAATTTGGATTTGTAACCCACAAACTTTTCAATTTTTAAGCGAAATAACGCCGAATTAAGAGAGAGAAACATTAAAGAAGGAAAGATTAATTATAAAACATTAAAGAAGGAAAGATTAATCATATTTATTAAATATTACTAACAACTATATTTATTATAATAATTATTTCAGTGTTTAATCATAAATGCAGTTGAATTCATTGATGTTTTATTTGATTCGATTTGAAATATAACTGAAATATTAAAAATATAGTTGAAACAAATTTATATTTTATTGTTCAATTAACATATAAGAAGAAAATTTATTTGGCATTACAAAATAAAAGAACAATAAATAATAACAACTATATTTTTAATATTTAATATAATAATATACAAATTATAGTGACCCTAACTGTATTAATTTTCCTGAGAAGTAATTTCTTCTCGAAATATAAACTTCACACCAATGGAGAAATGAAGATGGACAAAGGGAGAACATTAGTGGGAGAAATTCCCACGGTTGCCATTGCCACGTGACTCGGAGACGAAAATTTCTGTCGCACTGACGGAGATGGAAAACAGAGAAGCCAACCACGTGTTTTTATCAAATGATTATTTTATAACTCAAAAATATTTTGGTTTGTTTCGAATGATGGAAAATTTCGTCCAATTTTAAGATGCCAATCACCAACAAAATGAAGCAAAATACAAAACTGAATGGAACTCATTAATGTAATGTTTGTCATACAACGCAAACGACCAATTTCTTTAAATTCCTAAAAATATCAATTATTTAAAGGTTCAAAAAATTGATTTATTTCCCAACAAAACAACCGAGGAAAACAATAATGACGTGCTTTTGTCGATCATTAAATGATGAACATTTTTATTTTTTCGCCAAATGAAGTAAATATTTAAATAAAAATAAAAATCGAGAAAAGAATTCAATGCAATGTCAATGCGATCAAAAATAAAAAAAGTCATTCACAAATAACAATTCATGCGAGTGATAATCATATTAGTAGGAACGTATCCTTGTTGACTGTAAGCAAATTTTAAAAGAACTATTTACGAAGAATTTGAAAGAAATCAGCGAGTAAAGAGAATAAGGCAAAATGTGATTAAACGTCACGGCTTAAAAAACTTTAAATGTTGGTTTATGGAAAATGTATCGGAAAATAGGGTTTATATTGTTAAACTATCTTCGGTTCAGTACATGGTCGGCGCTATGAAATGCCACTAAACCCTTCCTTTTAAGATTCCTTCTCAGTTTATAATCCAACAACTTGATCAACATAGTTTTATAAATAAGAAGTGATATTCTATATATAGGAGAAGTGTGGCCAAAGAATAGTAAAGAGAGAGAAGATATTAAAAACTGATGGATTGGATCGCTACCACACAGTAGATATATAGATTGATCTACAAATGTCTTGATACCCCATAGTCATATAGGGATCACGATGAGCCGAAGACAGCAATAAGCAAGTACAATTAAAAAATAAACCTGACAAAAACAAGATCTTCGCCATGAACGTGCATGTTCTGCCCGTCATCAGATATACTGCTAAGATATACAATGAGATGGCCAACTGATGATATGGCAGATGGATGCTCAACAACAAAGCATTTAGGGTTATATACTCTCTGAAATTGACTGAATAAAAACGAATGATACGAATGAAACGAATGAAACAAATTCGGTAGTATCACACAAAAGTTATGAGATTAGCATCTAAAAATATTTTTTGAAATAGACAATAATTTCGTTCATAGGATCAAAGGAATTAACGTACATCTAAGTTTTTCGATGCACATCTGACAAGTCCTGCAGTAGGTGGTGGTAAAATGGGCAGGACGCAAAGGGAAGGCGCAGAATGTATTTCAAACACGAGTGGTCAAAGGTTGATAGCCTCGTCCTAATATCATCTGTCACTGGCCACATTTCGCAGCCATATAACATAATAGTGCCCTAGATATGGACTTTCAATTCTATTTCGCAGACCTCGCCTCGCCAGGCCAAAAGACGCATTCCTAGCAGCAGTTACCCGGAATGAAAATCGCCTTTCTCGAAGTCATTCGACACAAAAGCGCGTCCAATACATTTAGTGTTTGCCAATTCACCAACTCGCGATGAATTGATAAAAGTATTTCTTCTGGCATCTGATATATTAGACGAAAAGATTTTCATATTATTTGCGGATCCGATTCGATTATTCCTTACTCCGATTTTTACTACAGTTGCCGATTGGAACAGTTTATTTTCCGATATATTTTCCATAAACCAACAACTATAACTTTTTTGAGCCGTGACGTGATCTTTAATCACATCTTGCCTTATTTTTCCCTACTCGCCGACTATAATGATCTTATTGCTATGATAATCACTCGCGTGAATTATTAATTGTGAACGACTTTTTTATTTCTGATCCATCATATTAGCGTTACATCGAATTCGTTTCTCGATTATTTCTATTTAATTACCTCGCATCTCTTCCATTTCTTCATAAATTCTGCAAAACGAACTACAAAAAGGACCAAAAGATTCTCAGCGTATTGAAAATTTGTGGCACTGTACTCTGGATTGACTTGTACATTTCTTGAATGCTGGTAAGCAATAACCACAATCCAATCACCATTTTTTCCATACTGGTACCGTAATAGATACGTACTAAATTATTATGTGGAATGCGCATCTATCGACATTTCCAGCCGACAAAAACCTATAAAGTAAAAGCGTTATTAAAAGTGCATCACTACCACTTATTAAAAATAACTCAATTTCGATGATTTATCTTTTGAATGGCTTCTTATTTGTTTATAGAGATTTGATGAGGACTTCCATTCTTTATCACATATTGCACAAAATACAACTCGCATTGGAGAGATGTCGCAAATATTTCAAAATCTGAACCATCTCAGCCAACTAAAATTGTTGGAAGATTAAACACTCTTATTTTCCTTCAACTTGCGATCTCCGGCTGGCAATGATATGACTTTATGTTGCTCATCCAATCAATACCAATTTATACAATTAATAATACAGTGAACTAAGAATATAAGCAAAACAACTGACGGTAAGATAAAGATAAAGATAATGGATAATTTCTCTTTATATATTGTAAAAAAATTGGGACCAAATATATACCATTGGATACCATGAAGTATTCACAAATAAACCTCTGATAATCTTTGTTTGTGGACAAGAATATATATTTTTGTTATGCTACGCTATCAAATTTCGAAAATTAACCCACGATAAAAAATAAACAAAATGGTTTATAAATTTGAAGGCAATCTATCGTAGTGAAAAAGAGAGAGATCGGATTCTTGTAATTCTTGTATTAAATATTAAATTAAAAGTGGTTTGCAAAAGAATTTAAAAAGTACTAATAAAGACAGTATAAAAAGTAAAGATGAATTTTCCATTTATTGCGACTTTTTGTACCAGAATCTTGCTCGGAAATCATCACTACCAGTCACAAAAGCTGGCATTGTAGGAGAATGAGTAAATGTTCGAGTTGCTGCAGTATGCCCTAAAAGAAAAAATGAAAATACAAAAGAAATATAATAAAATATAGAAATCTTCCAGTATTATCTGCATTAAAAAATCCCCATCGCCCAAAGAAAAAAAGACTTTTCCATATTATAAAGCAACAAGAACCATTAAGTCAAGCAATATAAAGAAAGGAAGCGAATGCAATAGCAAATAAAATCGTCGTGAAAAAAAAGAAACCTAGAGCTAAAAGCCGTTTCCTATCGGAATTGCGAGCATCCCAGGAACACAAACTGCCAGACTTTTCATCAGGAAATAAAACTGAAAATTGCCAAATTGCCATAGAATTAAAACGTTAAGCAATCAACAATATCAAATATAATAACTTTTAAATATAAAATATTTTAGAAATATCCGACCATAATCTTCATTATGATTGAACGATGCTTGGATGGGGTACTCTTGAGCCCCAGTTGCTCCCGCGCCAGTATATGCTATTAAGCAACGATTTGTAGACAATTCCCACAGTTTTACAATACTATCCAATCCTGATGTTAATATATACTGAAACAAATAAAAAGTAAAGTGCAAATTATTATAGAATCTAGAAATTTATATACATAAACAAAATCCAACAATATGTATAAAAATCTAATACTTTTCCATTTCTTGTAAATGCAGCACTGGTAATTTGCGCACCATCATGTGCTCTCTGGAACGTTTCGACACAGCGATTTGATATTCCATCCCAAACTTTGACATCACCATCTTTAGATCCCGTAACATATAGTCTTGCATTATCAGAATAGTTAACCTAAAAAAAAAATTTTTTTGGATAAATCAGAAACTCTGCAAAATGACCAATGAAAAATTGCCAAAATGATCAATAATTAAATATTCACAAATAGAATATTACAAAATGAAGACATGAAGATTAAAAGAAATTGTGCTCACATCCATCACAGTATCACGATGTTGATCGGTTGGTACTGAACATACATAGCATTGCTGTGTTTCAATATTGTACAATCTCAGAGTAGGATGGTTCGTAGCAACAAGAAGAAATTCGCCAGCAGGATGAAAAGAAAGTGCACGAATAGGCTCAACTTCCTAAAAATGCTTTGAAAAGATCAACTTAGAAAATGATAATACATAATTGCTCAACTTCTTAGTAAGATTTTTTTCGATAATTAAAGTAAACGAATAGTAAACTCACTGATATAATCACATTGATAAACCACAAGGATGGCTCAGGGATATGATCTCATCACTAAGGCACTTTGGTGCAAAAAAAATTAATTCAATTAATTAATTGCTTACGAAAATAGTCTTCATTGCCCTTTTTACGGCTGTTTTTGAGAAATCGAACATTTTAACAGTAAAATCATTCGCTCCAGAGATTACAATCTGTTCTCGAGGATGAAAAGCAATACAATTAACTTCCTGTAATATAACATTTCAATGGTGCTAAATTTAATTTAGGACATATTGAAATGTAAGGAAAGTATTTCTTCTACTATGACTGGTAATCATAGGTACGATGCGTTTCTATGATGGAATTAAATCTACCAGTATACTTACGCAAGTGATTTTTTGTATTAAGATACAATCATACTTTTAAAAGAAGAATGAAAAATATATTGACAGGTTAAAATTTTAGAAAATGTGATTTTTTTGATATTTTTATATTTTTTGTTAAAATATTTTATATTTTTTCTTTACACAATACGCCACCAGTAGTCTAGAAAGAAAGAAAGTATTAAAATAAAAAAACTAGTATGTCTGCTTTAAAAGAAATTTATACTTGAAAAAATGAGAAATATATACATCAATATGATCATAGAGAGTTCGAATTATAGGATGTTGAGCATCAGGACCATTTTCGGTTAGATTCACTTCACCACTGTAAACAAACTGTTCATTCATTGAAATGCAGCAATTTTTTATATTTATTTCAGCTCTTATCAGCATTGTTTGCAATATTCATAAAAACTCTATTAATGAAATGTAATGAAAGATTTAACAAAAAAAAACAAAAAATCACCGAACTTCACGCGCCAGAATCCTCTCAACATCCAAAATTTTTATAGAACAATCAGCAGAACCAGTAGCCAAAAGAGTGCCTAAAAAATTCACCAAACTCATTCAATATTCAATAAATAGACCGAATCATATCGACAACTAATAGTAAATAATCGCATAAACGGTGAATTAACGATGAAAAGATTAAAAAAAAATTTACCATCATTATTGAATGCCGATGCACGACATGGCGATTTGTGCGAAGTTAAATAAATAGTTTCGTACATACTCGGCTCTGGCGATGTTGGCTCAATATCAGCATCAAATTCTAAATCCAGACCGGTAGATATTCCTTCTACCTGCGAACAAAAGTTGAATAATTTACAACAAGAGAAAGAAGACCAAAATTATAAAATAACACAAAAACTAATTAAAATTAGTAAAATTAGTATTGAAAAAATTACATCATTAAAAATTACATCAAAACATTAAAAATTAATTAAAAAATCATTATTAAAATTATTAAATATTGCAAGAGAATATACAAAAAAACTGCAAATTTGAATTTTATGAAAGTTAAAATAAAAAAAATCATATTAAGAAAAGCAGATTTCATGAAATTTGCGTAATTTTTCTTTTAAAGCATCATATTTAGCGAAATTTTTTGCGAAATTGACTATTAAAATGGTCTGAAAAGTTGGCCAGTGAGAAAAAGAAGAGGTACCTGCAAAACGAAATCTTTTTCCTTCGAATCATGTTCATCTATAAACTGTTTTGCCATCGATACAAGACGAAAGAGTTTGTCTGATGGAGGTGGTGGCTGGGCTGAACATCCTATTGTCGTTGCTAAATTTAACGCCAACTGCTGATGTCCATCGTAAAAAAGTTGCCTAAACGATGAAAAAAGAGTCTCCTCTAAATATAATTGTGTGTTTTTAATAATAGCAATAGTAAATAGACAATAATAAAAATAAATTTGCAATGAGTAATAATTAATCAAAATTTACGTTGACAAAATCAAAGCGAAGAAAAGAAATTTTTTTTTCAAGGAAAAAGTTTTTTAATTTCTATTCAAAAAAAAATATATTTCGTATAAAAATATATAAAAATATATTTCTTAATATTTCGTATAATTTTAGAAACGGAATTATAATTTAGAATGAATTGGCTTTCGCTTTAAATTAAGAATCAAATCAAACTTTTTCCCATAATTTAACAAAGTTAAAATTTGCTTTTCGGTTACGCGGACAGCGAAAGCGAGAGAGATGTTCCAGTGTGTCTTCTTGCTTGTCGCATCTGCGAACTACCATCTCTCATAACTTTCATGGATCTACCGCTTCTTCAACAGCTTGCGCCATTCGCCATAACTGTGATTGTATCGTCGATGTCCATGTAACCGAAAAGTGCTAAACTTACCTACCCAATTATAAGGCGATACATGTAATCGCGGTCCTTAATGTCAGGTTTCATACTTTCTCGGCGATATGTCTTTCCGAAATAAATTTCTAAAAATTAACGCACATATATATACGGTTAAAACTTTTATCTTTACTTTATTTTATCTTATCTTAATTCCGCAAATTTTTTCCTCACATTAAAATATTTAACCAGGAAAAAAATTCAAAAAAATCGTAAATATATTTTTGACCGAAACTCAGACAGTAATATTACAATCATTTCAAGACCAAGAAATTTAAAATTTTTTGCCAACATGCATCTTCATTAGTATTCAGAAGCTCGTGGAACCAGTGGACAGAAAGTTCTATTTTCGAGAATATTCCTCGTTGAGAAAGTTCTCGAGAAAATGAAAGAAATGAAGTCTACTGAGAAGAAACCTGGTGAATATGGTGCGTAAAGAAGATCTGATTTACAAATTTTCACAAATTTATATGGTCTAATGTTGTCGTACAGAATGGTGAACTTTTTTGTTGGTCGATTGCCATGCTTCTCATTGCTGGTGATTTATCTTCATTTTTTTACACCACTCTGCAATCACTTTTAAGAAGCTATAGTGAATCAATCCCCCAGCAGAACATTAAGTAATAAGAAGTATAGTCTTCTTCGAGTGGAGGGCCAGTTTTGGTTCGGGCCAAGTGGTTTTATCCTTGCCCAACGACTGCAGCAACCTTTCTATCTTTTTATCCAACAGAATCCATTTTTTCATCCAATCATAAGTGATCTAAGGATTGTTTTTTGAATCAGCGAACAACAAACTTCCAAACGTCTCATTATCTGATGCTCCATCAATTCGTGGGATATCTCCTTTTCTTCCGTATTATACGTAGGTAAATTCAAGTGAAACACTTGTGCTAGATCAAAGGAATTCGGTATTCGGCCTTCACCATTCCCTTCAGGAATTTATTTATGGAATATGAGAGCTCTCTGTAATGCTCGATCCATCTTTCCTTCGAGATCCATATTTGGAATTTCGAGCACTGTTCTTTCATTAGAAGCATTTGTTATTTGTTTTGTCTTTATATTACGATCAGCCTCTGTTACTGCGCCAGTTTAAACTAATGAAATGCCAAAAGTCAAAATTGCATATAAAATTTGATGGACTCAATCAACCAAAAAAAAAACAAAACGCAGTTATTCTGCAACGAAAATAAACCAGATATGATGATAAGCAGAGCGATGATATGCCATTTAACATGATACAACAACAAAAATAACGGACCCCAAAACCAGACACAGTAAAAGCCCCCGTTCCTATCCATATCTGGAACTAAAGAGCTTTTTCGAGTCGGAATTATAATATAAAGGTATTTAGTGCTGGCAGCAGTTAATAACAAAATCTATAAAAATTAGAATGATAAAGAAATTATTTTGATATTTCATGAAAAAAAAATCAGCATGGATTCGACCCCCGTCTCTTGAGGACTGGCTGCGATCTGAACTGTTATTATTATTAATCGCCCTTCTTATCCAAAGTTATTGTATTGAAAAATTGGTCTCATTCTTTCTCCAATAATTAGTTGAATGCAAACAAGCCAGAAATGATGTAGGCAGATTCCCCTATTTAGGAACTTCGATGCTGTTCTCGCAACGGGAGTAAATCTGTTCTGCAAAAATTCGGATCATGCTGGTGAGCTGGTGCATCCATTGCCAAGTGACTTGCTAGTAAAATTTCTCTGGTCAACGGGGTCAATCTAACCCATACTGGTGAATGCTCTCAGAAACAAAATGTACTATGAGAATGCGTACTACCATAAAGGAATCTAATTAGTTCAATAATTAATGACTAATGTGCAGAAGCCATGTCACTGGAGGTCACAAATGTCTGAAAAAGAAATCTTAAAATCATTTCGAAAGCTTTTATATTTCGCAGCAAATTTTTTATTAGTGTAAAATTCATAACTGAAGATGGACTTCTAATTTAAATTTAACTTTATTGAGATAAAGTACTTTAAATTATCGCTAAAATTTATTCATTCATTTTATAATTTCTGCGGGCTATTTTAATAATAATGATTATAGATTTCATATTTCCATAAATTGTCCACTTTTTAATAGAGTTTTATACCAATAATTTGTGCATTTTAGAAAAGATTAGTTCAGCTTCATTTATTAATTGAATATTGCAAAAACAGAGACTAATAAATGATTGAAATAGATGAGATTATAACAATCGAATTCTATAAATGAAATATTTAAATAATTTAAATATTTCGAGATGCAAAATTTGCGCTAAAAATATTAAAAGTTGAATATTAAATATTAAAAATTGTGTAAAACATTTGTTTATTCAAAATTTCTAGGAATATTCGTCGTTTAAAAAAGAATAAATCCGAAATATTTTTATTATCCACGAGTTTTTATCGATAATTATAAGCGATATCCGATGTGCCAAAAAGTGCTTGTAAAATACGATTATTTTGTAAAGCAATTTCTTCCTGTGCTGCAGCGTTCGTTTTTAATGGATCATACTTTTCAGTGTTTCCAAATTTTCTATTTTCTTCAACAACACGATTTACCCTAAAATTTTGTTGCAGTTGTGTTTTATCGGTGTGATAAATATTTTGCATCTGTAATTTCGCTGCATTTTCGATTTCAAATACATGTTGATTGGCTGATTGGCAAATGCTATTTGGCTGAAAGCTGATAGATGCAGTATTTGGATTTCGATGGAAAAACTCAACAGTAGATGATGACTTGAACCGCGGAAATTCGAGTAGATTTGGATAAGCGGACTGACGCAATGGGGTTAATGAAATACCTGGTAGACATGGTGCAAGGGATTTCTCATTTCTCACGGCATCTGTCTCAAAAGCCGGCAAATTCATCCTTCTATGATAATTTATGCCTGTGGAACCGGAAAATAATTCTGTATTCCCATATTCGGCCGGTAGAATATATCTTGGATAATTAGATCTTTGATTACTGTAGTAGATGCAAGCCTGATTTAATTCAGCTGTATGTGAATTGTAATATCTCTTTCGATTTGCAAAATTTATTTCGGCTGGTGACGAAATGTTCGTTGTCGTGTTTCCAGTCAGTGACCTTGTGCCATCGTTTCTTAACTCTTTTTCTCTACAAACAAAATTATTTTAAATGTAAATAAAGAATATCGTCTCGTATTTTTTATTTTATACCTAACTGGAGAAGTATTAATTGGTGTTAGCAAAAGTTTTTCTATTTGCTTTTCAAGATCGATAGGAGGCTTTGTTGTTCCGTGGATATAGCAGCAAGATTCTCCATATGGGCAGTCTTTAAGATATTGATAGTTCTTGCATTCCGTGGTTCGATAACGCGGGTGAACATAAATTTTCTGCAATAAATTCTATGTGCAAAGTAAATCGATAGTTAGGTAATAAAAATTACCTTTTGTTGGGCTCTTTGTCTTAGAACGTCCTCTAATCTTCTTGTTATCAGATTTTTGGCAACCAAATCATTATGGTATTGCTTTATTAATCCATTCAAATATTCCCAAAATTTATCTTATCTTCTAGATGATAAAAAAAATGAAACTGATAATAAAAATACCATAAAAATTACCATTGGTTGGTGTTCTGGTTCTTTCAGCTCGATCTCATCATGTGCAAATTTGCAGTGTGGACCAAAATTGCATCGACCTGTATCCTTCCAAGCTTGGCAAGGCGTTGACTGTGATCATTTATTAGAAATCATACCACAGTTGAGTCAAAGGCTAATTTCTAAGTCTATCATTGTTGAATGAATCGATGATATAAAATTTATGGGATTAGCGATGATGCAATAGATAAAATAGATAATCTCAATTAAATTAGATAATTTTAATAATTAGCCACTGAATATTAATAAGCCAACTTAGAAGAAAAAAGCTCTTCTCTAGAAATTTTAGTTTTAATTACGATACTTTGTTTCCTTCAAGTTTCTTCCTCATTCGTCGTTCCTTAAGCATCTTTATGTTTCTCTCTTTTAATTCTGAAAGATACCACGGTGGTATTGCCAGATCACCACAGCGTAAAGAGACACTATTTGTTACAAAATGCTTTTGTGGATAGGTAAAATTAGGATAAGGAATTTGTTCGTATCTTAAAGATGGTGGGTTTTGATGATGTATTGGAAAGGAATTTTTCCATGAGCCATGCCAGTTGTTAAAGCCCTATAAATAATTTATAGTTTATGTAAATCGTAGCACAGTTATGACAGGTTTTTCAAAATATTGAAAGTAAGTTTTGCACTAGTGAAGCTTTATAGCTAATAGCTTTATACCTAAAATTGGTCCAAAAAATATCAGAAAGATTTCGATGACTTCCACGAAAATTCATAATCGCATATCATATTCACTTCATATCAAAAAATATTAATCAATTTCTTATAAAAATATTAATAAAAATATTAATCAAACTCAGCAGTTTTACGATAAATTATAAATACTTATTTCTTTAGTTCTCATTGCTTTTAATCCCTTATTTTAAGAAAAAATATGAAATAATGACAGCACTAACATCTCGAGATGGTAGATATCCGAAAAAATCGGCTAGGTTAGAAGTTCTACAAGGCGAGTCACTTGACTGCATTATTTTGCCATTTCTGTACCAAACATTTGGCTGATTTTGCATTTATCACCTAAAGAAGTACTAATCATTAATCTTTAACATTAACTGCAATGAAATGCAGTTGATAAAAAAGGCTAAAATAGTGATAATTATAAATATTAGCTGAAAAGAATAAAGCATACAAAAAGCATATAAAAGCATATAAAAAGCATACAAGATCTGATCGTTTTGCTATTTGCTTTCAGTCAGTCACTAAAATAATTTAATCTTTGCTGAGTCGAATGGAAGGTCAATTTATTATTCATTTATCCTCATACTGTGTAGTTTAGCTGAAGAATTTTAATACGATAAAAAATACCATATAAAACAAGAGAAAGAAGCAATTATAGGGACCAAAAGTATGCTAGATTGGCTTGAAATGCTCTAAGCAGTTCATCTCTTTGAGGTCAATCTTTCAAATCTACGTATTATATAATAAAACCTCTAAAATGTTTATCCAAGCATTTACGAAAATCTGTCGCACCATTAACGTAAATTTATGCTAAAACCATATTTTTAAACATCGTAGTCTTTTATTTTCTGCTTTTTTTGCACCGAAGTAAAATAATCTAGCAAAAAAAAATAATTTTGGCAAAATTCTCGATTCATCCATTATCTATAAATGTTGTTTCATTATCTATACTTATTTATTATTATTTATTATATTATATCAAATTTATTCGCGATGGTTCCATAAAGGTTTTGTCAACCGGAAAAGATATTTCTAGCTGTCGTTATTACATTTTCATCCTTTGCCTGGCCATTTGTGATTAAAGTGGATGTTCCACAGTTTTGCTGAGAAGCGTTACCTATATTCCAGTCTATCACATAGTTGAATATTGTATGGAAAAGGACGCTTCTTTGGTTGACACCAGTTTTTATTTTGAAAGGATCAGTTAATTTCCCATATAGACAAAGCTTTGCCAAGGTATAAAATGAAAATGCCTAATAAAATGCCTTAATGAGCCGAATGATCTTCTCTGACACGCTATCACATTCTATTAGTTTCTTGAATGCTGCTATATCAATCGAATCGAAGACAACTGCAAAATCGATAAAGCAAGTGATGGTAGGTTGCTATTATTTATAAATATCTGGTCAGTACCAGCGTTCCGGTCTGATTCTAGCTTGGTTATGACGCATTCTGCTATCTCGTATTGCCATGAGCCTATTTAGCAAAAGGAAAGCGAAAATTTTTCCTGAGATGTCTAGTAAGTTGATTCTAAGATGTCTACTAAGTTGATTCGATGATTGTCGTACTACGTCCTGTCATCTTTCTTAGGAATTAGAAGCAGAATTGCTCCAGTCTTCTGGTGTTATTTCGTTTTATTATTTCGCCATACCAGAGAGTGCATTTATTGAAGATGAGTTATGAACGGTGATGGACAATATTTAAAGAGTTCAGCCCGGGAACCATCTTCTCTGGGAGTTTTATTGCCCTTTTAAGCTTATGGATTATAAAGATTTCCTTTTCTGCTGGCTGCTAGCAATTGCAAACGTATGGCTCAATAAGCGAATCAACTATATCCGAGACAATAGATGGTGCATCGTGGTTGAGTTTGGCCTCAAATATTTATTCCATCTTATGAGGCGATCCTTAATAGACTTAACAGGCGCCCCATTAATAATTCGTATCAGTTCACTCTCTCCTTCTCGATTTTCAGTTGCTTTGCAAAAAAGGCGAAATAGTTTCCTATTATCATCAAACCGAGGCGCAGTTTCAATTCTCAAGGCTATGTTGCTCCAATAGCGATTTATGCCTCTCCATGCTGCTGCCGTAATTCTTCGAAGCACCCAATATTTAGAATTTCTTAGCTTTGGCAACTTTTTCAGATAGTTGGGCAGTTGTTTCTGGCATCTAATTAGCGCGCACCCTAATATAGAAGTGGCTGATTTTGCGCATTATTAGTTGGGACCAATGTTCATCCGCCGAGATGTTACTGACTCTTATTTCACTGAGATATTACAATAATTCGTTTGAAATGCGCTTATTTACTTTGGATCCATTACCTGAGAAAGATTTAAGCAAGCCATATTGTTCTGCATTAGGTTATTCGGGAAAAATTTAAAATTTATTGCAATTGCAGTGTTGTGGATGCGACTTGGAATTCCTCCATCTCTCATTGATTTTTTACCCTGGTAATCAATGGAGGGATCCAGATCAGAAATATTGTTTAATATTGTTTGCTTATTCAACTGATATTCGTTATTGTAGCTTTTATTTTTTGAATGAATTTTGGAATAAACTTTTAAAAATCTTTAATTGATTTAATTTTTTAATTAATTTGTTAAGTGTTACGGCAAATAGATTTGGGTGGCTCTAGCGTACATAGAAACGGTGCAATTCTTCGGGAGTTTCCACGGTGACGCTTCATTCCATAATTTTCCTTTCCATCTTTCAATAACTTATTTTTCATTCGATTTCATTCACATATCTGCTGATTTTCTGCAAACAAATATAGTCACTGTCTATCGATTTCTTTTCCAATCGTAGATTCAGTCTACAACATTGTCGTGTGAAATTTGGTACCAAATATATGCGAATTATGCGAATGTTTTAAAGGTTGAATATTGTAAGGTATCCGTAGTTTTTTGTGGACTTAGTGGGTTTCTGGTTAATGGAAAGAAGATTCTGTTAAAGTCCCCATGAAAAGAGATGGTGCGACCTTGGTGAAACCCCTGTATTTATCCCTTTTACTGCGGATGATTTGACCTGAAGACATGAAGAAGTCCCCGTGATTTTTGTTCCCTTTGAAATTTTTCTATCTCTATTTCTCTTGGCTAGTTATATATTATTGTCAGAAGGCTTTTGAACAGATTTTGGCAAAATTTTTTTATGTCAGGACTATTTATTTCTAGCAATGAATTGTTGCTGTTCATGTTCTCAAATATTTGCTCAGTTGGTGTCACAAGCTAGCTTCGAAGAAAACAAGTAAATTTATTGAGAAAATTTCCATTGAATTTCTATCTTCTATTGTACTTTAGAAATGCTCTGGTTCGATTTATTCCTCGTTTTTTTTTCACATCATCATTTGTTGTATTTTCTTTCATCAACCATATCTTTTATCAATTTTGTTTATCATTTATCGGCCATAGTAAGTCTTCGTTTTCTACAATCTTAGAAATAAATTAAGCTTAAATGATGTATGTATACATTTAGTGGTTAATTCATTTTATATAAGCTCACCGTCTCTAACTAGATTAACTTGGCTGCTTGGCACTTGGCTGTGGTTTAGAATTTTTGCCAGAAATCCACTTGGCAAGAGAATTGAGTGCAGGTTGAAAGAATGCTAATTATGGAAGAAAATCTCGATTACGACTTTCACTGCAGATCCTTATTAAAGAAATCCTCAAGAATATTAAATTTTATTTTTCGCCCGTTTAAAAATGAGACCAGAAGCTAGAATTAGAACTTTCTTATCAAAACATGCAAAGCATTTGTTCGGCCTCTTCTTGAATAAAATGCAACATGTTCCTAGATTTCCGCAAATCAAATAAATAAATTAGAAGGACTCCAGAAATGTCTTGTTCATTGTCCTTTTCCTAACAGCAAGCATAATTGTAAAAACACAGCTATATAATTATATAACCCAGGCTCACTATAAATTCATCGAATAAAGCAAGATTTAATTTACATTTATAAATTTCTATATTATTTGTGTCAAATTAGATCGTTTTAAATATTATAATTTTAGGTTTAATTTCAACCCAACAAGATCTAATGGGCTAATAAAACCTAACATAACCTAACTAAACTAACTTTTTTATTCATTAATTACCATAATAAACTACTGAACTATGTGGTTTGTGCCACCATCCTTGGCTGTTCTTAAATTATTTTTAAAAAAAGATTAGATAATACTATCTATGGGCATAGAATGACCCACTGGGCTTTTGCTTAATTCGGAGCTCCGATTCTTCGCACGTAAACTGTCCAGAAATCCGGGTGGTGCCGACTCACCTGTACTTTTATCGCCAAGGGTTTCCCTTGCATATTTAGTGCGATAAACCAGCGTAGCGAGTCTAACCAGTAATCGTGAGGGTTCATAAAAAAAATCATCCATGATATTATTTAAAAATTTCATATTATGCAAGAGATTTCATAACTGTGGTCATCCAGTTGTGCACCAATAAACCACTTTTGAATTCGAATTCGAATTATGCTATTTTGTAATTTCTATTTCCTCCTTACATTGTTAGCTTATTTCTTTTTTTGCACTTTTATCACTAATTTTATCAATTTGATATTCTATTTGTTGTTATTATTTCAAGGACATGGCGCTTGTCGCCCCGCTTGGTTGATTTCAATAAATAAATATTTGAACAATTATACCAGTCGACCACCCATATGTACAATATATGCACGCATATAGCATGGGATATGAATGCATCGAAAGAATATGGGAAATATTGTGTCACAGATCATTTTGTTGACGATTGCTGCTCTCCATTATTTCTGCTGTCTATTTCCATCGCAATTTCATTATTTGCCAGAATATAACCATTTAACAACGAAACGATACTTTTTGAACTGAAAAACTATTGACTAATATTTCAATTTATTATCTCTGTCAGACAGACAAGAAAGTTGTGGGCAATCAACCAGATGTCGCAGTTGTTGACAACAACTAGAAAACAATAATAATGGTGATAGATATAGCAATGTCTTCAAGACAGGAGTATTAGGAAAAAAGGAGTATTAGGAGTATCTAGAGAAATACCAGGACTGGAAAAGGGATCAGAGATGTGGAAAGTGAAGATTAGAATGCTATTAAAAGTGGTGGTAAGTGGTGGTCGAAATTTCTAAGCTTCTAAGCTACGAAAATAGCCACAGAAACAGAATCAACATCATATAAGAGATTTCTGTTCAGAAAGCTTACTACTAAAAACAGCTGAATTTGTATATAGAACTCTCAAACATAAGGCTTTCGGTAAAAAATCCGAAGTTGAGAATCACCCATACCATGCAGTGTTGTGTATTTTAAAAATCAAATCGCTTTTTTTGTCAAGTTCCACATGTTATTTCACGTGTTGTTTTATAGGTATTTTCAGCTTCCAGATAAGATGTTCATGTGTTAATAAGATATTGAAGCACGTACGAGGGTCAAAATAGGCATGCCGTTAATTAGAGAAAGGCAACCGATGGCTGCAACTTCACCTCTTTATTTACATTATTATTCAATCGCCTACAGTATGGTGATAACTGCGGTAAAGTTTTAGAAAAATTAATATCTTAGAATATTAACAATATAAAATAAATTGGATCATAGTCCTACAATTATCGAAGGCTTAAGGATAAAAATTTTGCACAGATTGCAAATGAGTGTGAACATTTTATTAAATTATTATATAAACAATTCATTACAATTCAAACAATTCGAACTTTTAGAATTATTACTAAATATTTTTATTAAATTTTTAATTGTTTTATTATTTCAATTATTAATTATTTTAAAATTTACGATTTTTTGACGTTTCAAATTATTTTAGAACTAAGAAACATTTCGTGTCCGTTAGAATTTTTCGCTTTGTTTGTTTATCGCATTGTATGAAGAAAGTAGAATGTGTTTTTGGGTGTTTTGTCACTTTTTTCGCGTGACAACCTGATTTTTTGAGCGAAATACAATTTATAACCAGATTATATGCTTTATTTTCTTCAATAACATTGGTTCTTTTAGCTGTTTTTCAATATTTTTTAGTGTCAGTTTGCAGATTAATATCTAAGCCGCACTCTAAAAGGGAAGATTCAATAATATGTGCTGTAGTTTTATTGCTATTTTATTATATTTAATTTGATAAAATATTAGCTTGCAGTATGTATTTGGCTTTGGCGAATATATATTTTTTCGACTTTCATGGATGATCAATTCAAAGAAGACACCGTATTATGCATGGTGTGACAAAAGGGCGCGAGAAGTTGTTGGCAAAAATTTTATTCATTATATCGTCGTTATTATTGGATTTATCGCTATAGCTTTTTTTCAAATAACTGTTTGTTTTCTTTCTTTGCTTGTTTAAAGACGCATGGAATCCCTTCAAAGGCATCGATTCATTGAAATTTTTAGAGACTCATGGAGCTATTTTAAAAGTAAATAGATGGATTGATATCCCCTAGTATCCGCTAGTATTTTCACTGTGTCCAACAAATTTTATGCACAATTCAGAATTTTACGCAGAATGTTAAATTAAATAGCTTGTAAACATGGTAATTAGAATGGCCGGCGACGACTTCATTCCAACTGATTTGCGTTAAAAGTGATTTTTTTAAAAAATTTTTTGCTAAAAATCGCTTGAACGAAAATTTTATTCCAAAAAATGTTTAAGTGCTTTTTTGGTTTAACGATATCCGAAAATTGGATTCACTGTACCAAAAAAAGTCGAATTGATCGCATGATTCGTGTTCGTCGGGCACTCTCTTCTAAAATACGAACAGTTATGCAAAAAACGATTTACCCAACATTTGGTGATTTTATTTTATATTCACTTATTCATATTAGAGGCGATTGCTTGTTTCCTTATAAGTGGGTCGTACTTTTTCCTCGTCAAAAAGCCTGAATATGATTTGGCCCAAATGGCATTTTGCACTAAAATCCAAGTGAATTCCAAATATATAATGAAATCCAAAATTTCGTTACAATTAAGTTTTCTGTGCGATAGGCTCTTGCCGACAGTATTGCACTAATAATCGATTTGCATGCCATTTATATGAACTTAAATTTATAAGACTACGGTGGTGCTTATCACGCTATTATTAAATTATGAAATTCGACTGGATTTTTCAATAAAACGCCAGAAACTTGCTTGGATAAATTCCTTAAATCATCTTATTACAGTATGCTATATGATGAGTTCAATGGTTATATGGGCAGTTATTTTTTATGTCGATGGTATACGAGACTCGATTGATGAGTTAGCTTCAACCATATGCATATATATATTCGATTTTATTATGGTTGTGTATTTTCTTGCATTTCCAGCTGTCACATATATTTATCATCCATATGTTCGCAAAAGGTTGATTTTTTTAAGTATTTATGGACAATTAAACAAGCGAAAATACCAAAGGAAATTCTATCTCCCTTTACTCTTTTGAAAAGGAATAGATACACGAAATACTTTTAGCAATTTTCGTTCTTTGTTTTCCTTTCCCTACCAGACGGGCCAGTCGAGTTATAAATATGAAAATGCCACAATGCCAGCGTTATATTCCATAAAAACAAAATTTAAAATTTAATTTCTGCAACTATTTTTGGTTAAAAATTTGATTTTAGCACCAATTTGGATTGTCTTATTATCAGAAAATTATTAATTCCCCAAAATCTTATTTTAATATCCATTGTTCACCAATTGATAATTGATAATCCATTATTGAGGGCTGAAAATATCGGTAGAGCCGGATTAAAATTCGAAATATCAGTTGCAAAACTCCAAAATTTTTCCATACAATGGGTCGTTGATATTATTTTCAGGACAAGTTCACCCCCAATTTATGCAAATCCTGGCGATAATTCTGTGTCATTGATGAATGATAATGAAATACACTGTGGTGGCTCACCAGTTGGAAGTGTTCCTAATATTGCTATGGAATTAATTGCTTGTGGATGGAAGAATTTTCAGAGTGAAGACTATCCACCATCAACTTTTTCACCACCTAATGTTTCAGGGCAGAGGTTTATAAGAAACATCAAATTAACTGTTACTCTCTAGTAGAGATGCATTTTTTAGATTCCAGACATGGCAAAATTATTTTTAGCAAATATTGCTGATAATTGCTTTATTCTTTAATGCTTGAAATATTTGCTTGCAAATTTTCATTAAAAAGAACAGTTCATTTGAGATTCTTTTAAATAATAATATTAAATAAATCTCTCAGATGAGGGGCAAATGCGGCCTAGTGTATGCTACAGCCCCAGTTGACAGCCCTATTTTCAAATTCCATTTTGCATTTTAAATAGTTAACTTTATTTGATTTTTAGTCATTTTTTGCTAAAAATTATTACAACTGTGAAATTGCATATTCAAATTGTCCATTAGTGCCTTGGCTTATTTAGTTATCATTAACCCAGTTGTTTGATTTCTTTTTGAAGTTTTTCATAGTTTTTCACATTTTAGAGCAAAAGTCTGAAATTTTTTAATTTATGACTTGATAAAATTATATAAATTATATAAGAACAAAATAATACACTTTTTCTCTTTTTTTAATAAAGTTTACAAAATTTATAAATCTAATAAAGCCAAAAACATCTTTTTTTTGCTAAAAACACCTTTTCTGTTTAATACTATTTTTTTTTCCATTTGTCCATTTGTACAGTGTAATTTTGTTTTTTAGTATAAATAAATATAGTACACATAAAGTAAAAAGTTTCCTCATTTATTCACTTCAAATAGTTGAATTTCTTCCGAAATCGGGAAAATTTCGTGAAAGACGACAATTTTTTTTTTCTTTTAGGAGAAAAGTTAGCTTTCAATTAATTGAAATATTTGTCTGAAATATTTGAAAAAACCTTAGCAATCGGATTTTTACCAGTTTTTTCCAGATTTTTTGTTTCTTTTTTTATAGAATTTTTTTATGTATTAAATATTTTTCTTGGATAATTTAAATATTAAAACTGAATAATTACTGAAAATTATTTAAATATTTAACTGTAAATAATATAAATATATTTCCTCCTCGTAATTTCTTTTCCAGTGAATTTATCTGCTATTTTTGATTTTTCAGTTTTCTTCTTTCCTTTTTCACTCATATTTATTCATTTACTATTCATAACATTAAATTTTTATAAATGCTTAATAATTATTTATTTACTGTAAAATAAGTTTTAAAATGAAAATCTTTGGAAATGTGCAACAGCTTTGCAAAGATGCTGCGGAATGCTGCATTGAATAATTAATTTTATAAAATAACTTGGTTATTTAGCCCTTTTGGATCCTTTAAATCGATTCAAATATGAAATATAATAGGTCAAACGATTGATTCATTCTTAAAATTGCTGCATGTCTATTGCATTATTTTGTGATTCTAAGAATATTTATGGAAAATGAATCGAATTTTCGGAATGGAACTTTTTCTTCTTCTAAGAGCGCTTGCCATTTCTGATTAGGCTTTCTGCATTAATTAATAGATTAGGCATTAGATTAGAATTTTACCACGTAATGAGTTGGTGATAAAAATATGAGTGAATCGCGATTATAACCAGCTTTCTTCTACTGATAACCTATTAAGTCTATTCTTGAAATTCCGACGATATATTCATTTTTTAGGCATAATATTGAAATTTTCTAGGATTATTTGTGCAGAATTTCAAGTGAAAAGAAGCAAATGAAATATTAGAATAAAACGACTTTCTAGAGTTACATAACTAACTATTTATGCAGGATTGTAGGGTGGCAGTGGGTTTTTGAGGAGCCAGTACTGAGGTTCTAGTCCCGGTAGGAGTGCGCCTGTCTAAAAATCCAGATGATGGTGGCAACTTACCTATACTTCTGTCGCCAAAGGATTCCCTGGCATATTTGTCCGATGGAGCGAGTTTAACCAGTAATGAAGACTCTTAATGAGGACTCTTAAAAAAAAATTAGGCGACCATCCAAGAAGTGCGGATCATAAAAAATCCTTTGAGTATTTTAAAATTTTCCTTAAACCCATCGTTGCAGATTTTATCACATTATATTATATCGTAGCAACTAGAATTTTTCGTATTTTGCTCGCAGAAGTCCTAAATCTATTCGCGAAACATGGATTATAATTTTCCTATGTGCAAAAAACATCAAACATCAAAAACATCAAAAGAAAAGTTGCTTTTTTCATTTACATTACTTTTTTAGTTATGGAGGAATGGAACAGTTTAGCAAGTTGCTGCTTTCGCTTCAGAACGTCGGTGATGAGGTTTTACTCCCGCCAGGATTAAACCTTTCTCTTAAAAATACCGGTAGTGCTGAGGATGTACCTTTTTTCTACTGCCAAATGAATCACTGGCAAAAGTCGCCCGCTTCGAAAAGCCAACGGAGTGAACCGAACCAGAAATAATGGTCGTCCCTAGGGAAAAGGGAAGTATAGCAAAATATTGCGACCTTTTCTCGATTTTTGTTCTGAATAAAAATTAATCTAAACTAAATATAAAAGATGTTCCGCACAGTTTATAGAAACTATTTTCAAATAAATTAAAAGTGACACTTTCGGAAATAAATGAATTTGAAAAATGGACGAAAAACAGGAAATCAAAAGTACGATTGCCATTTTTTTGCAACATTTTGTATTTGAAATTCATAGAAATGGAATTCGTTGTATTTCAACCCGAATCGATAATAAAAGAACCATCCATCGATTAACTTATTTCCATTTATATTGTACATTTAGTATTTCTGCAGTATTTATGGAACTTCGGTTAATTTGCTTTTGATAATCATCGAAATCATCAAAATTGTTCAGTAAGAGAGTAAATTTACAGCACTTATTTATGTATTAAATATGTAATGAATGGATTTTTTAAAAATTGGTTTTAAAATTGGTTTGAAATGCGCGAGTGAAATCAAAAACAAGTTGAAAAAATAAATTTTTATTCCTTTTTTGGGCAAGTTTCAAGTTCTTCGGCAATTACTTCTGTATTGCTCGGGCAAAAAACCTCGAATTCAACGATTCCTTCCTCGTCCTGCAAATAAGGATATTAGTGGAAAGCGAATAGAGAAAAAGCAAAGGATTACGGCTTTCAAATTTTTTTCTCTCAATTCAATCAGTTAGTTAATCAGAGAATAAACACTCAATCACCGTTAACTGATTTTGTGTGTGCTGCCTCCTATCGATATTTCACGACTCAAATAATTCCTTCCAAACATAAAGCTTTCAATTTAAGCATTTTACAACTATCATTAGGATAACTTTAGAAAACCAAGAATTATGCCATTTTAGCATTAAATAATTGTAATAATAATAGTAATAGTGACAACAAAAAATTGGTAATAAATAAATGATAATAATAACTGATAATGATAACAACAACAATAATAATAGATAATAATAATAGTGATGATAATATTGACAATTTTTTTAAAAACCCACAAATAAATAAACGGTACGCAAAATGAGTTCAACATGCATCGAGTAAACTTTTAGATGTTTTGTATAAATATCCACTCAAAGTAATAATCCCTCAGAGAATTTAAGTTCAATCTAATTTTTATCGCAATTAAAATTTGCCTGTTCATCTACTTCCCATAATCCAATTTCTTTATCACAAACGAATGGGAAAACATGTGAAAGAGCCTTTTCATTGATTGCTTTTGTAACGTTTCGGCAAACGCCAGCATGAACTTTGCCATCTTTTAGATGTACACGAACGATTTTATGCTTATTCATTTCCAAACATTCGGATCGACAAGCTGTAACCATAGTTTTGGGGAATTGCAAATCAAAATATTCAATTAGCTATTTAAAAAGATATATGGTAATAATTTGTAACGAGTTTAAATAATAGAACAATGGAATACATCCACGCAAAAATGCCGCTAAACCAACGAAAATGGATGGAAAAAAATGATCCGAAAGATCCTTTAAACACAAATAAACATCTATTAAAATTTTATTATAACAATGCTGTCGTCGAATGACGAAGAAAGCTGCAAATATGAGCAGATCATTCGCATCGCACCTGCTACGCACCTCTTTCCCAGCAAGAGAATTAGTGAAATAAGGGAGAAAAAAGTTGGAGAAGATATTAAAAAATATCACAGAATAATATCAGAGTACCTCACAAATGAAAGGTAGAGCTTTTTTTATGAAAGAATTAAGAACCATAAATATCCTCTCCTCCCATCTCATCTCAAATCAAATAGACCATTTTTAGCCATTTTACGCTTCTGTTGGGGAGCGATGGGTAAGTTTGGAATTTATTATAATATTATATTCGATTTTTTACGTAGTATATCATTTTTTTTTATAATAGAAGAGCAGTTTAGTTTTGATTTTTTTGTATATGTTTGCGTCATTACTAATAAATAATTAATCAATAAAGTTTGAGGTGGTCCGAACATTCGCAGCGAGATAATTATGAGGAGAACGCTGGTCGGAGAATTTATAATATTTATAATATTGTTGATAGACAAGAGTCCCGCGCGGCAGGATATTTATTAAATCTATACAGAAAACACAGTGGAGCGAAGGATTTTATAGAGCTAGATATTGAAAGTGGGAACCGCCTTGCTTCCTCGGAAAATCGTGTTGCTATTTTCTGTAAAAGTGCTAAACGTAAAATATACGATAAAATAAAGAGGAAGAAATTACCACCAGATGAACCAGCAAGCGATATCTGTTGTTGGATTATATTTAAATAAGCAATAAGAATTATTGTAAGCGATCGAATTTGCATGGTTGAATGAACAAATAAGTTAGAAGAAGAATTGTAATAAGTATGTCTGCCACAGTTCCAACTATTTATTAAAGATCTTATCACTGAATGTGTGTGATATACACTTAAAAATACGAGAAAAGCAAGTTTTTTTCAATGAATTTAAAAGGGTAATTTGTAGTAAATTGAGAAGCCTAAATCAGGTTTTTCGACACGTAAATTCTAATTAATTTTCTTTTTGAAAAAATGTATTAAATATGCATGAAATTCGACGTTCGATTATTATAACAATATGTGAAAGTGATGAATTTAGTGAATTTGGAGCAAAGTTAAGAAGAATCGGAGGAGAATTAAAGGAGTAGTGCTTAAGTGGATGTCAAAAAATATAATCGAATGTCGAATTTGATGCATCTGCTTTCCACCATTATTTTTACGATTAATTAACGACTTCGGAATTATAAAATTGTGCAAAAAACAGCGGTAAAATAAATTTATTTACATCAAAAATTTGCAAAAGTCATAACCAACCAATCAGTAACATTAAAAAAATAATAAATCAAGGCGATAGCTGTAAATTAAAAAGAACTGAATATTAACATGTCTGATGCAACTATTTAAGGCAAAAACGGAAAACAAGACAGAACAACGAGACAGAAATGTAGAAAATCATTTTTCAAGTGAATCTCCACCCAAAATAATGCAATAATGCCAAGAAAAATGAAAATAATGATGAGTCGAAGCGGCTTTTTTTATGGCGTTCATCAGAAGAAAGTAATAATTCGTCAGAATAAAAACGATAAAATGAAACTAAATTGCAAAATAAAAATATCATTTGATTAGAAAATAAAACCTTAAAGACAGTTAAATTAAAAGTAATGCAACAAAGACAAACAATTCTATAAAGAAATTATAAATAATATGGAAAAACCAAAGGAAATTATTGGAAACTGTCACAAGTCCTCATCACAAATTTCGCTTAATGCACGAATATTAACAATTTGATAAAAATCGACCTTAAGAAATCGTTGAAATATCCAAGAAGGACACATATTATCCACCAAATAAGTTGAACAAAATGATAAATCTTCTGTTCGATCCATTCCATTGTAAATCACTCGAAAAAATAGCGATTCTCGATTGATGGATGATTTTTCATATACCTTCAAGTAAATAAAGAATGAAAACAAACAAAAATGAAAAAATCAAATCCGTATAAAATCCGTATATGCCTAAAGGAAGCTGAAAGCTTTTTCAATGAAATTCGGGAAATATTTCAAATCGAAATTTCTAAAAGTATGCAAAAAGATGAAAAAAATAAATTTTGATCAAATTTTCTATAAAAGAAATCGGTGAAAATAATATTCTATAATATTTAATATTCTATAATATTTTAATATGAGAAACCAAAAAAATGTAGAATATTCTTTAAAAAAAGTAAATTTTTAAAAAATCGAAAATAAAAAATAAATAAAGATCGAAAAAGAAAATAACTTCGAAAACGAGCCGAGAGGCATAATGAGGAGGTTCACGATGTTTTATATTCAATGCAATCAAAAGAGGAAAAATAGTGGTATCATGCCCAGAATATAATCGCAAACTGACAGTTCTCGGATGGCTTAAAATTTAGGCATAAGTTAAAGTTAAATTTATATTTAAGGGTGTTGTTTCTAAATTTTCTAAATGTGATAATGAACTAATCCGATGATGTCTAAGATTTTAATCATTTTTTAAGACTTACCTTTTTAACTTCAACAATAAATCGCGAAAAGACTGAAGAATAGCCGAAGAGCTTGCAACAACTAATTTTCTTAATGAATGCGATTCATCAAGCATTTGTACAACACGATCAGATACAATATCGCTAAACTGAAAAAATACTAATAATTTCTTATTATGCTATAATGAAAAAAGACAGTAACATGAAGACTAAATAGAATGGCTAAAAGAAAGGAAAGCATCATAAGAGTTCGATTCGCGACTCTTGATTCGAAATAATTCTGTCGTCAAAATATAAAGAAAAGCTAGACATCTACTTATATGCCTATCTCCATGCAAATATGGCTCACGAAAGAGCCAAAGAGACCTAACAGCCACGTCCCATTATAAGTTTAATTAGTAATAAAATATAAAGGAAAAAGTAAAAGTAAAAGCAAAAAAATTTTTCTTTTATACAATGTCTACAATATTTAATTTTTCTAAATCAAATCAAGTCTCAAATAAAATACTATACATTATACATTATAAATTATAATTATAAATTATACAATTGTATAATTATAAATTATACATACTGTCTTAAAATAGTAAATTCAAAATGAAGAATATAAGACTTACTTGAACGAAATCGTCAAACCTTACGCATTCATTGTTCTGGCATGGTAACGGCATGCGCCTACAAAGGTAACAACCTAACAATACGTCAAAAAAATGTTCGGGATCTAATGCATCGGTATTTGTAATATTAATCAAAACATTTAAACGCGAAATAAACTTGTTATATCGACTGATAAAAAACTGAGATTTTTCCTGAAAGGAAAAAATGAAAAGTGACAACAGCTATGATCGTATACACATTATTAATTGGTAACTAATTTTATGAGAAGTTTTGACTGAACGTTAAATAGCATGAACGGGATTTTAGAGAATTACTAACGATAACAGTGCTATCGCAGTAAATCGCGAATACGATTAAAAATAATGTCATTGATAACTCACTGTTAAATTTCCTTTCAAAATTGCAAAAATACAATTAAATATCACAAATGTTAATTAAAATAAGACAAATACAAATAATGGGTAGCAAAATGAAAAAGACACCTGCTCAACTAATTCTCGAAGTCGCAGAATATTAGAACAAGCACACGAAATATCCATGCAGAAATGGATATTATCTGAAGCTTCAATATATATTCTTTTAAATAATGAATGAAGAGGATAAAGAAAAGTGGCAATGAATGCAGTAATGGATTGGTATGTTCGATTATATAGTGTCGAAGCGATAGAAATTTCCCACTGCTGCCCTAAAAAAAAAGATGTCGATCTAAAAATATTTTTTTAACTTAAATTAGAAATAAGATAATTAAAAACTCCCTAATAAAAAACATAAATAAGCCGAAAAACATTTGGCATATCTTTATTTGCTTTCTACGGAAAAAAAATAGAAAAATAGATTAACCAAGAATCACTAGAAAAAAAAAAAAAAAATCAAAAATGACCTGAATCAAAGAGAAATCCCGCAGAAGTATAACGCTCACGAAGAAAATTACCAAGTTTAATAAGTTGCAAAGCTCCTTCTGCGGTAAGATCTCCAAAAGTGCATTGAGAGAGGTTGGGAATTCGTGGAAAACTTTCAAAAATTTTATTGAATGAATAAAAATCCTCGAAATGTTCCGAAAATACCAGTTTTTTATAGTCGGAAAAAGCTTGTCGATCTCCTTCATAATATGGAGTGCAGTCAAACGATTCAATTTCTTCACGATTTCCTTTATGCAGAGTAGATCTTATAAGATTTATAAGATTAAAAAATTTATAAGATACATAAAAAAAATCTGTTCTTAAAGAATATAGCATAATTTTCCATTTCTTCCCACAGAAAAAAAACCATTAATAAAACTGCGAAATATTTCAACCTTTACCTTTCACCGTGTCTGAAAATTATAAGAACAGCTCTTAATTTACCAGTTTCTGATGCAACCAAGCCTTCAGAGCCATTCAACGGGTTTTCAAGAAATTGACAAAATTCTTTTACCAATTCGGGTACGGTCTGTGCAATAATTGGATCCTTAGGTACTTCACTAACTGAAAAGAACCTTTCTGTTATTGAAAAATTTCCTCTTTTTACAACTCTCAAACAATCTATCGAATAATTTAAATGATGAGCATTATAAGAAAACAGAAAATGACTTACTGAAGAGGATGCAATAAAAAAGGAAGCAAACCAGAAAGACAACGCATAATTTGGGCTTATTGCCCTTTCCCATCGTCCAAATTACAAATCGGACATCGCTACGAATTCCCAGCACGCATCTCGAATATCTCTGAAAAACTGGCAAAGGCAAAGCGAAAGCACTCCTTCGCAATTCTCAAATTCCTTCATGATGCGATTGAAGAAATAAATTCGTCATAGTTTACTTTAAAAAATATTTCTTTGAAATTTTAATCACCGAAAAATGAAATAAAGAATGAAATAAAAAAATGAAATAAATCAAATATTTATTACTGCAGTAAAGATGCAAGTAAATCTAATTTAGAAGGGATATTTTACGAAGAAACGCAAAACGAATGAAAAACCAGTTGCTGGAGAAAATTAGGAAGAAGGAGTAGGCAATTAGTTTGCGACTCTTTAACTTCTTCTAAGAGAATCATACTGCTTTGGCTGGCTTCACCTAACTTTTCTGGACGAATGTAGGTCCTCACTAACAACACTTTCAATGACTCCTCCCGGAGGAAACCCATGGTACTTGATTTCAGTCCAAGCAACATACAACTCTTTATTTCAAACTCTTTATTTCTTTCATGATTCTCATTCGCATATTTTTATAGACTGGCAAACAACCGGTAGCACTTAGTTGAATTAATAAAATCTCTTCTCTTTATCATAGTTGAAAAGGTAAAAACAGCTTTATGAACGAAAAGCGAAAAGCAACAAAAAGAAAACCAAGCAAATTCCACATACACTGTTAAGATATAGAAATTTACACAAATTGCTCATCTGCCCTATCCGTCTCCGCTTTTTTGCCCATTTTCACCACAGCCTTTTTCGTTATTAGTCACTAATAATGTTCACTAACACTAGGAAAATTTGCAGCTCATTCCTAATACACATCGCTCTTTTCCCTAACCCGCCACATTTATAAACTTTTTTTCGTACTTCACCTTAGTCCATGGCACCAAGCAGGTTCCTTTAGCAGCAAATAACTACTAATCTAGCTTATCAACAAATAAACACTGTAATTGACAAAAGAATTTCGTGAGTAATAAATGATAAAATTTTATGCAAACACACAAATATAATGCATTACTCTTTAAAATTAGATCAACATTTCAACCTATCCATCGCAAAAAACTGTGATGACAATTGAATAAATGAAATACCTAAGTTTACATCCATCATGAAACTAATAGATGGAACTATAGAAAGTGAAAACGATTAAATTGTCGTTTTTAAATTTTTATTTTAACTAACCAATCTGCACTCAAATATATATATGAACTACGAAAATTTCCATTCTTTATTATCAAATTATCACAAAAATTTTCTAAAATCCAGAAAAATCCAAAAAATGAAAAATTTAATCCAGAAAATAGGCCAACTCTACAACAAATCGATAAAAATTTGAAGCAATCCACATCACGAAAAGAAATTTATTACAAATTTATAATTAATTTGTACAATGGACAAAAACTATCACCAAGGCCTATTTGTCTCGCCGATATCAATGTGTACAACGTGTTTCATAAACTTTGGGTCGAAATATCGATATTTTGAGGGATCTGGGAATGCTCGATCGATTAATCCCGGGTTATCCCTCTCAATTTCCTTTAAAGATGAAAATTTCAACATTAAAAATTTATTTATAAATTAAAATTTAATAAAAATAAGGCGAAATCTAAGCATATGGGAAGTAAAAAAGATAATCACCTGTTTTCTATCAATTCCGGTTCGAATAGTATAAGCATGTCCTAAACCAGTGTCGCGCTGCCAATCCTGAAAAAAAATGAGAAAAAATAAAAATGAAAAGAAAAAAGATTTTTATGAAACAACAGTTGGAAAAAATATAAACCTTTTGCTCATATTTCCAGACATAATAGATATATTCAACAAATAAAAAACCCATTAGCAATTTTGGAGTGATCACTCGAATCAATGTGCCACGATAAGCTCCCTGAAAATTTACATTAAATGGGAAAATTTCTAAAATTAGGAAACTGTTAAACAGTTTAAATTAAAAACAATTACACTAAAAATTCTCAAAAATATTTGTAAAATAAAGTGAAAAATATTTGTACAAAGCCAACTTTAATAAAAGAGATTGCACTCCATATATATATATATATATATATTAAGACTTCCTCCTAATTTCTAGTACGGTGAGAAAATTAGGGAGACAACAAAACTGAAAGTGAATTTCCAGCATCATCCGGATTTTTTAAAGATAAAAAATAAAATCATCTGCATTCTCAAATGGCACCAGTAACCCACTGAACCATTCTTTTCTTGATCAAGCAATATGTGCTTAAACACTTACAAATGTAGGTTGTAAATAATGCATATATAATTTGTCCCAAGGTGTTCGATACAATACTCGCAAAGGATTTAATTGCCTATAAACTGCATCGACTTGTATGGGTTCATCCGGATGCAACTGTTGATCCTTCAACCATTTTCTAAAAAAAATTAAAATGAACGCCATCCATTATCATTTCTTTTTTTTCCACGCTTTTCCTAGCGTTTTACAACAAATTCTATAAAACCTCATCAATATTACGTTAAAAAAAAAAGAAACAATAATTAAAGCACAAATCACTAATAGCAAATGAAAACAAAGAATAACGAGTAATTTGATCAAATACTGCGAATATAAGCTGTTTTCCTCGAATTCTCATCATTACGACTTGTAAATATCATAGTTATTTGAAGATAAAAAAATACCCTCTCCATTCTCGTTCAGCTGGTGTAAGGCCGGCCATTCGATATGCTTCATCAGCCATATATAATTCCAGGCTCATTGGTTCATTTACTCGATGCAATGGTTCATCGATCTGCAAAAAAAATATATGAATTTAAACATTTAGCGGATAATTTCACCTAGATTTTTCATACAAGTAAATCCACATGTTTGAGAAATTATTGAGAATACTGGTCCAAATTAAAGGAATGTCTCCGAAAGTCAGCCACTTCCACGTTAGGGCGCAGGAGGTGTGCTAGTTGGGTATGTTAGAAGCAACTGTCCAACTATCTGAAAAAGCTGCTAAAGCACGAATGTCAAGTGATCCGGTAGTCACTACCGGATACTTCGAAGATTTGCAACGAAAGCAGCACAGCGGGACAGAAATTACTATTGGAGTGACATAGTTTCAAGAATGGAGGCGGCGACTCGATTAGGCGATAAGAGGAAACTATTCCGCTTTCTTCATAAAACAGCTGTAATTCTGAGAAAAACGATCAATGAAATGGTAAGGGACAGCAGTGGCGTGCCAGTCAAGAATATTAAGGACCTCATAAGATGGAAAAAAATCTTTGAGGTCAAACTAACCATGAAGCGCCATCTGTTGACCCTCATATAATTGATACGTTCGCTGAACCATATGTTTGCAACTACGAGCCCCAAAAGAAGAAATAATATCTGTTATCAATAAGCTTAAGGCCAATAAGGCTCCGGGAGAAGATGGTCTTCGGTCTGAACCCTTTAAACATTGTCCATTGTCTTTCATAACACGCCTTCAACAAATGTACTTTCTGATATGGGAAAAAAAATATTACCAGATGATTAGAATAGAGCAATTCTGCTCCAAATTCTCAAAAAAAGTGATAGAACATACTGCAGCAATTATCAAGGAATCAGCCTACTAGATATCTAAGCGAAAATTTTTGCTTCTCATTTGCTCAACAGACTTATGGAAATACGAGACAGAAGGATGCGCCCTAATCAAGCTGGATTTAGACCGGGGAGCGGTTGTGCTGACCAGATATTCACGTTAAGAAGGATATTGGAACATCGCTTCAGATATTTGCAACCCACTGTCACGTGTTTCATCGACTTTACGGCTCGATTTGATTCAATTGATAGAAAGGCGCTTTGGAGGGTGATGGAATGCGACGGTGCTCCAGAGAAGATCATTCGACTCGTAAAGGCATTTTATGAGGGTACGTCGGCGCAGGTCTGTGTATGTGAGGAACTAACAGAATCCTTTGAAATAAGAACTGGTATCCGTCAAGGATATGTCTTTTCCCCTACAATATTCACAACTATGCGATAAACTGGGTAATGGATACCGCTTGTCAGCACTCAAGGAGTGTCCAAATCAGTCTAGAGCATCGTATCACAGATCTTGAATACGCTGATGATATAGTCCTTTTTGCTAACAGTTATGACGAAATGCAAGTAATGCTTGATAACGTGTCAGAAACTGCAGCAAGAATAGGACTCAGGGTCAATGTGTACAAATCGAAAGTTTTTTGTCTTATGTACAAGAAGCCAATGAGTTGTCAATAAAAGTGGAGAATATTAAGAAGCTATCGACCCTTGACCACTTTTGTCTAAGGTGGTTTATTTTACGGGTCCGTAGAACGGATAAAATATCACATGATTGCATCCATCTTCGTTCAAACACCACCTGTATTAATAATCTGTATTAATTATCACAGAGCGCCGCCTTCCGTGGTTAGGGCACGTTCTCCGTCGTCCACCACAAGAGTTGTCGTATATTTCGTTACTTGCCAAACCGTGTGATGGATGGCGTCAAAAGCGAGGTAGGCCAATCAAGACCTGGGCTGATACGCTCAGGAAAGATTTTGAACGTATAGGTGGACCAGCGATATACGGACTTAGACGATGGAAAAAGGAATGGCTTTTATTATTGTCAACGATGGCATCAGACCGCGCCGCTTGGAAGTGTCTTATCCTTGCAGCCGTTTCAGCCAGCCTAACCAGTAGAGAGCTGTTAGAAAAAGAAGAGAAATATTAAGAAAGAAAAATATTAAGAAAAATATTAAAACACAAAACACAAAAGTAATTAGTAATTAGTATAAATAAAAGTGCAGTAAAAGCAAATTTACCAAAGGCGAGGACCAATAATTTTTTATTTTATTCTTAAAATTAGATAGAATTTAAGTGATTTGAAAATTATTTCAGATGCTAATTTATTACTTCAATACCGTTCGTTCAAAAATAAAAAATTAATTTTTAATAAAGCGAATGAATTTTTATTAACTCGAAGCGAATATAAAGAGGAAAAACCGCCATAAAATTAGAAATATTTCCTTTATTTAAAAATAAGAAGGTTAATAAATAAAGAAAACCTTCGTTTTAAGCTTTGGCGGTGGAAGACCTGTTCGAGTATAAGGAGAATCGCCTTGTTTCGCTGGTTTATGGTAAAATGTACCCATTATCAGCTGAAATCAATTTGAAAATTGAAATTCTTATAGTACAGACAAAACGTTATCTGATTTACTGCTTCGAACATTGCCAAAATCGCCCATTTTCAAATGGTTCTGCGGCACTTTACAAACGTACTTCGCGACTCTTTGGGGGGGACTTCTTCCAAAAACAACCAAATGGACCAACCAAATTGGAAATGGATATTACTGCTCGAAGAACGAGTTTCACCTAATTGGATCACCTAGATGGAGCCGATCTAATGTTATTAGTAGAAATGCACGCTCCCTTCCTTCTTCGGCACAATAAATAAAAGAACACTAAGGAACTTCTCGGCCATTCGACCAAAGCAGCCGTCGCCTCATCTCATACCCCCTCACTGGTCTTCCCCCTACCAAAAAACTAGACGCATTGCATAAACCTAGCGTGATTTCAGCCGCTACCGAAGCTGAAGCTGCATTCAGAACTGAATTGTAGTGCAGCTTTAGAGTGCTTTCAAAATAGGGATTGAAATCGAGATTCTCATAATATGGAATGGGTGGAGGGGGGGGGGGAGGTGGTGCATGAAGGGAGTGGGAATGGTCTTTTCCAGCGGATTTGCTATCCGCTGTTCTTTTGAATATTTCATGGAATTTCAAATTGCTAAATTATTCTTCTGTGGTTTTTTATTGAGGTGAATAGTTGCAAATGATCCATTTTCCATTTTCCTTAATTGCTATTTATTAATTTATATATTCATTAATTTTTATTATTGGCAATATCTTTTTTGAGTTTTTTGCTGAGGGACCTACGGGGACTGAGCGGTGTGCTGCGCTTTCCGGCTGCATTCAACGTTGGTCATTCCTTTCTAGTTGAGTCCCACCCTCGTCCCTGTTTCTGTTCTCAACGACCCCCCAGAAGTGGAATAATTAATAGAGGCGGCTAAACCAGAAGTGGCATATGCACTTATGTGTTTAATTCACCCGTTTTCCAACATGATTTTCTATTTTTTCCGCTGATTTCATTCAAAAGTCGCGCAAAATTTCGTTCTTCTTTCGGCTTACACTGAAGTGAGAAGTAATGAGTTCAATTGGTACTGGTTACGACCTTGCAGCGGCCACTTTTTCACCTGACGGGCGTATTTTCCAAGGTTCATTTTTTTTCCAAGGTTCATTTTTTTAAAATTTATTTCCATCTTTTTGTTTATTTCTTATTTATTTATTTCTTTAATAGATCCTTACTAGTTATCAAATAATTATCAAGGAAATCACTTTTTTTTAAAAATTGTTAAAGTTAAAGGAAAAAACAATTGATAAATGAAGAAAGGCAAAGTTAAAAAAAGAATGATTTAAAAAATTTGGCGTAAATTTTTTATTGGATTATCGTTTATAGTGGAATATGCTCAAAAAGCAGTTGATAATTCGACTACGATGGTTGCTTTACGGGGAAAAGATGGAGTAGTAACAGCTGTGGATAAGCAGATTCCATCAAAGTTATATGTTGACGTACGTGTTAATACTTTTTCCAAGTGTTTTACATAAAATTAATAAATTTTAAATAAACTTTATTTCTACATTTCTACATAAAATTAGATTAAATTCTTTTCGCTGACATATTTTCTTTTAATTTTGATTTATTAGAATTATTCTCACAATATTTCTTTTGAACTACAAGAAAAATTGATGATTGCAAATGAATTTTGAATTATACAGGAAAAATGTAAATATATTTAGAAAAATGTAGAAATTTAGAAATACATATCCTACATGAATGGAACTACAATGATCTATAATAAGCGAGATAAAAATTTTGATAAAGCATTTTGTGCTCTGTATCCATTACGTTATGCATTTTTAAATTTTAAGAATGCGAATTCACGCATGATGAATGCTAGTGATTATATTGGCTTTGCAATGGCTGGTGTATATCCAGACTGCAGAGCATTGTTGGATTATGCTGTTGGTGAAGCGTTAAAATATTTGAAAGACTATCGTACTCCGATTCCGATCAAAATCCTTGCAAATCAGGTTGCGCACTATTTATTTCAATTCATTATTGTAGTGCTACAAGAGCTTTCTTTTTTTCTGACTTTTTTATGCAAATAATCTTTTGTATGAACATAAACATATACATAATTCATATACATAACACATAAATAATTCCCCAATTTATCTATTTTAGGTGGCTGAATATGTGCATATTTTTACTTTGGGAATCAGTCGACCATTCGGTGCTTCAGTGTTCCTTACTTCTTGGGATGCAAAGGTTCGTTAATTTTTTTTCTCTCAGGGAAATTTGATCTAAATATTCTTCTAAATCTAAATATTCTTAAATTTTTGTCTCTAGATGCGTAATTTAAAAAAATAACTTGAAAGATATTAAAATATCTTTAATATTAAAAATAAAATAATATTTTATTTTTTGCAATATTTTAATATATGGTGTTATATTTTTTCCGACATTGTTTTCAAATGGAAGACAATTTAGACTGGTTCAAAAATATATCTAATCGAACCATCGGGATTGTGCTATGAATATAAAGCTTGGGCAGTAGGCAAACACCGTCAAGCTGCTAAAACAGAAATCGAAAAATTAGACTTGGAAGATTTATCAATGGATCAATTGGTGAAAGGTATTAGATTATTTGTTTATATTTTTTTCATTTATTGAGTCTTGGCTAAACTGTAGCATTAAAGTACTGCTGAATTTACGCTTTCTTTTTTTACAATTTTTTTTACATTTTCAAATTATAGAAGCTGTGCGAATTATTTTAACGGTTCGTGATGAAGCAAAAGATAAAAATATACAAGTGGAAATGGGATGGGTTGGTTCAGTTACAAAGGGGCTGTACCAACCAGTTCCTGCTGAGGTGACTTTTCTAAGTTTTGTGTTTCCATAGAAGTTAATGGTACCATAAGGACGCATTCTTTTTCCCTTGGATTATTTTTATTCTTATTCTTCAGTAGTAATCATTGGTTATTTTTTAGACTATTCGTGAAGCAGAACAGTGGGCAAAGGCTAAGTTGGAGGAGGACGATATGGAAGATTAATTAATATTTTATGTATTGTTATATATTTTTATGCATTTTTTTTAAAAAAATAAAAATATTTCCTATTTTTGGTAAAATTTATTGAACACATGGTTGTTTGAAGCTGGCCTAAATATTCTTTCTTCAATTTGTTTAGTTTTCTTGATATCGGACTAAATGCAGTGCTTAATGCCTTGGTTTAGAGATTGATCTATTGGAAATCCAGTCGCAATACAGATTTATTCAATATGATAAAAAAATATAAATAAAAAATAAAAAATATAACACCATCAGTAATGTCGAAAATTGATGTGGAGTGGGGTGGGAGGAGGGGAGCCTGATAATTTAATTGAATAATTGTTGAATTAGTGATGGATGAGTGATAAGGATAATGATGATTATTGCCATAGTCACAAACCTAAGATGAAAACTGTAATTAACACATAAAAACAATCTTCATTGGAGCTTCAAAACTGATAGCTTAAGGATCAATTTACATACAACATTGCATAAGAAAATTATTTTTCCGACCAGTAAAATCATTTAATCTTTTCTTTAATCTTTTGTAAATAGGTTCATGATGAAGTCCGCAATACTTCCCGTATGTTTTTAAATTGTTTTTTGTCGTGTGGTATAATGTCTGAAGATTTTCTGGATATGTCGATCTTGTTTCCATTTCATTCTGTTTTCTTTATTAGGATCCATTTGCTGTGAATTCGTTGAAATTGCTATACGTGAAATGCGACTGTCTACTCTTTATATGTTTCGAAAATACATATTCTGCTTAATTTTAAGATATTTTAGACCAAAAAATGGATGAAATTTTAGACCAAAAAATGGATGAAGAAAGCGATTTGGTCGGTGATCAGCAATATATTGGCTTGAAACTGATATCCGAAGATGGAAAAGAGTTGAATGAAGCTCCGATTATTCTTCCAATTGCCACAACTGTTAGACAATTGCAGGTTTTCTCTGGTTATATACGTTTTTTATTAAATAATGCGGCTTATCGCTCTAGAGAAGTTTTGCTAGGGAATCATTTAGCGATAGAAGTATAGCTGACTCTCCAGCACTATTCAGATTGAAGGACAGGTTTCTTTAGGCGTGGAACCTCAGCATCGATGCTTATAACTGGACTACAGCACACTGAGCGTTATCTCTTCCTCCTCCCTCCACACCCCCTCCCCTCCGCCTTCTTGTTTCTGCCTAGCGAAGAGTGGCACGTCGATCAGTGTCTTTGCTGATTCCCGGTGGCATTCATCTTGCTATTAAGCCATCAATGTGAAGTTGTTATTTATTAGACTAGATTTTTTTTTGTTTCGTCTTATTCTTGTAAGATATTTAGAGTTTCTTACTTTCATTCACCTTTCATTTTTTTTATTTTCTTTATATTTTTTTTCATTTATTCATTTGATGAATTTTTATGTGTTTTTTTTTCCTAGGATCTTTGTAACAAATTATTGGCTTCTGGTGACGAGCCACTGCCTTTTACATTTCGAACCCATGATGGTCTACAAATACAACAATCTATATCTCATTCATTATTTGCATGTAAACTTAGCGCTGAAAAGGTCTTCAATTTCTGATTTTTTTAAAATATTCGAAAGGAAGTAAAATATTCAAAAAAAAAGTTTTTTAAAAAGTAAATGGAACTTCTGAAAATAGAAAAATTTTTATCTTTGACTTCGACATATCTGGCATATTATTTTGACTTATTTTACTCCTTAACTTTTTTCAGAATTTGGAATTAATATATTATCCTGAAGCAATATTTCAAATTCGGCCCGTTACACGTTGTACGTCATCAATACCCGGTCATGGCGAACCTGTTGTCAGTATTCAATTCAGTCCTGATTCTCGGTTTGTTTTCGCTAAGTTTTCATAATTTATGAGAAATTTCACGCAACATTTTTGCAAAAATATTTTCACATTTTAAATCATTTTATTTATTTTCGTTTGTTTTTTTGCAGGAATTTGGCCAGTGGTTCTGGTGATAAAACCGTTCGTCTCTGGGATCTTACCACTGAATTACCACTTCACACTTGTGTAGGTCACTCAAGCTGGGTATTATGTTTGGGGTGGGCTCCAGATGGAAAGAAACTAGCATCTTCTTGTAAATCTGGGGAAGTATGTATTTCAGTAAATTTTTAAAAAGTTTCCTGGTCATCTTTTTGCCTTTTTAAAATTTTCAAATCATTGCAATATTTAATGAATTATTCAAATAAATGCGATTATTTTTGCTTGATTTTTAAAGCAAAATATGCTTTAATGTCAAGTTAAATTTCGAACTTTGCTTTTTCTTATACTTTTTAGTGTGAATAACGGTAAATATGGAATAATAATATTAATATTCTGAAATAATTTGTTAGATGCTATAGTTTCTTTATGGTTACGTTATTGAGAAATCCCTTCAATAACCAAAAGCTTTTCATTATTCGTTATTTTTTTATAGAAATTATTGGTATCTAAAAAAATTTGCAAAATTTATTGTTTCAAAAGATTTTTAAAAAGTTTTTATAAAAATTTTTATAAATTTTTTTTTATAAAAATTCTTTTTATAAAAAAATTTTTTTATAAAAAAATTTATTTATAAAAATTCGCTTTAAGAAATATAGAATGATTCTGCAAAATTTTTTTACAGATTATTATTTGGAATCCTTTAACAGGCAAACAAATCGGGCATAAGTTGACGGGACATAAACAATGGATTAACCAACTTGTTTGGGAACCATATCATATAAATCCCAATTCCAGGTTTGCAAATATTTCGGAATTTTTGATTTATAGTTTGTTTGATTGTTTCATGAGATTTTTTTGGAAATCATGCATTCTTCAATTTTAAGGCATTTGGCAAGTGCTGGCAAAGATTCTGTTATAAGAATATGGGATACATTTAGATGTACTTTATTACGCTGTCTCACTGGTCATACTCAGTCGGTAACTTGTTTGGCTTGGGGTGGCCTTGGTCTCATTTATTCAGGTTCTCAGGTATAATTTGTAAATTTTGTTTTGTTCTTTTATAAATTTTAATATTGTAAATATTTAAAGTAAAATTTTTCTTTCAAAATATTTATTTAAAATTTTCTTCATTATGTTTAACCACTTTCCTTCATTTTTTTTCACAAATTTTTCTAGATAAAAAATTTTCTGTGGTTAATTCTAAAGAGCAGCCTATGAAGAAGGTTGTAGCAGGTAGAAAAAAAACGAGGAATGAATAAAGCGGAAATTGTGAATAAGGCCAGAATCGAATTTAGTACAGAATTTAGTATAATTAGAGTATAGTAGCTTGTTTTAATTTTAATTTTTAATGCAAATTTAATTCATATGTATATTTGATCATTTCGCTGGAGTTTTTGATATTCATATTTTTTAGAAATATGCATCAAGAAAAATTTATATCATTTTATTTATCAAAAAGGCATTTATTCGTCATTTTTTTGGCCTATTAGGGATTATATGAGAATATGACAGTCTCGAAGCGGATTTTATATATATGGATTTTACGTATATTATAACGCATTCGTTGCCTCAAGAAATCTTATTATACAATTATTTACTTTCAATAAATTTTTCAAATAGATCTTTAATTTTTTTGAGTTTTTCAAAATTTAATAGAGTTTGAATTTGTAGGATCGAACCATAAAAGTATGGCGATTTAAAGACGGAGTTTTGTGTCGTACATTATCTGGTCACGCGCATTGGGTTAATACGTTAGCACTTAATGTGGAATATGTTTTGAGAACAAGCTGTTTCGATCCAAAAAGTGATTCTCGTTGTTGTCCGACAGAAAAAGAGGTTTTCACTTCTGTAGCATAAGTCGATTTTGGAGTTTACTTTTAATAATGTTTTTGTTCAAGCGTTCAAGCTTGTTGGCATCATTTCTCACCAAATTTTTATTAGTTTAGAATCAGAAATTAGCTTACGATCGTTATGAAAAGGTAAAAAATCTCAGTGGTGGAGAAATACTCGCTTCTGGTTCCGATGATTTCACTCTGTACCTATGGCATCCAGCCAATGAAAAAAAGCCAATCGCTCGAATGACTGGTCATATGCAAGCAATTAACCAGGTTTAACCGAGTTTTTGCTTCCTTATTTTTTGATAAAAATGAGTTCTTAAATTGAGAAGGATAACCGATTGGATATTGATTCAGATTGCCGGGGAGCAAGGATTAAGCTGCTTCCTCCGAACGAATAAACCTATCATTAAAAAATTCTTTGGCTCTGGCGATTCATGCATGTATTGCTAACGAAGTAACTCCCTCGCAAAAATTTTTAACCGTACTAATTGCGAAACAGAAGTGGCGAATTATTAACTTTTTATTAATTTTTAAATGGGATATTTAAGATCAGTGATAATATTCGACTTTCGTTTTAAAATTCCTGCGATCTTTCTAAGTTCTTTACAAAACCTTTTAAAGAATCAGCTATAATTAATAAAAAGTTGTTCAAGGGTTGAAATTATTTTTTATGTAATTTCCGAAACACAAATATTTCATATTTTTTCGTTATTTTTATTTTTTATCAGCATTTAATTATTAATTTATTTATCCTTGATTTTATTTTTCATCTTTCCATTGAGAATATTTTTATTTATAGCAAATTTTCTCAGTGATATTTATTAAATAAATTCTGTCCAGAGAAATCGTCTGTCAGACGAGTGCTTTGACAGTTTTACGATTAAAAATATTTTGCGATTGAAGATTGAAGACAATCAGAGTAAAACCACCTATTTGTATCAAATATCCATGTTCTAATTTATTTCCTTAAAATATTAATTGTTCTCTACTAAAATACGAAATTCTATTTGGCTCTTTATGCATAAAAGATTGCGTAAAATTGTTTTAGGTGATGTTTTCTCCAGATGCTCGTTTCATTGCTTCTGCTTCGTTTGATAAATCTATAAAATTATGGTGTGGTAGGACTGGTAAATTTATCGACTCATTACGTGGTCATGTTCAAGCAGTTTACCGTATTGCATGGTCATCGGATAGCCGATTGCTTGTTTCTGGATCTGCAGATTCAACGCTCAAGGTTTGTCGCTTCCATCTTTATAGTCCTTTGTGTGAGCGATTATCATGGCTCATACCATATTTTTTTAATCGTGACAATCAAATAAAACGATATCATTTTTTCCATTGTTTAAACAAAATCAATCAGATATCCTTAGGTATGGAATATACAAAAAAGATGCCTCGAAAGAGATCTACCTGGCCATAGTGATCAGGTGTATGCTGTGGACTGGAGTCCAAATGGTGAAAGAGTTGCAAGCGGTGGCAAAGACAAAGTCGTAAAAATGTGGAGGAATTGAGAATTTATCACTCGAATATATCTTGAACATTAACATTAGCATGAGCATTGTTGAATAAATAATGCCTTGATAATTTTCTATAATTTCTTGATATACGCTGACGGCGCTTTTCCGATTCAAAAAGAATTTTTAAATTTTTTTTTTGTTGAAAATTCTCACGGAAATTCTCATCCACATTCTAATAAAAAGACTATCTACTTGAATAATTTGCACGAACAGTATTTAAGGAAAGTTCATCCGAGATTATTCGCCCATATTTTATTGTTTATAATCCATTTCACAGCTTACTTAACTTAACAAATAATTTTCAATAAAATACATTTTTAGTATATACTACAGTGATGAAAATACCCCATAATTTTATCGCTTAAATTTAAAAAGTTGAGAATTTTTAATAAATTTAGTCGAAAGACTACAAGTAGAAACTTGGAAGTTCACCGCGAGTTTCCTCTCTTTCAACAGTACTCTTCTATTAAACTCATTAGTCCTTAACTCGTTCGAAAAAACTCACCACCCACCTCACTCCACCTCGCATCCCTCCCCCCTCTCCACTCAATTCGTTCAGCAGTGGAACTGAACGGCAGGTTGGTTCCTTCTTCGAGTCCATCCCTTAGTGGCCGATTTGTTTTAGGTTTTGAAACGAAGAGATTACTGTATTTCGGAGGCGCGAAATTTGAAATGGAAGTGAGAAAGTTATTCATCCTCAATTTATTAGAAAACGGATTGTCTCTTTATTTAAATCTATTGATTAATATTTTTGTTTTCTCGCTGATATTCTTTGATTTTTTCATTTTTCTCGATGGAAAAATTGAAAATTTCACTTTATTTTTCAGAAAGAATGGAGCAACTGAAAATGAAAAAAATTTTGAGCCAAAAATTTCGGAAATATTTTTGTTTATACTTCGATTTTTTACTAAACGTCGGATCTTATTATAATTTTATTTTTTATTATTTACAAAATCAGTTATAAAGGTGGTTAAATTTAATTTAATTTAAATCAGTGTAATTTGTGTTTTTTAAAATTTTATCACAATATCTGATCAGTGATAAACTTCGCACATCTTAGAAATTCTAGAATCGCCGAAATTCGCTCGCGAAATCGATAGCGTATCGGAGGTTTGCTCGTATGAGGAAGGTTATTCCTTCGTGTACCATGCTTGCTTGTGTGACGTAACTGCAGCAGTAAGCGGAGCGGAGAGGACTAAGTGGTTAAGTGATGATTGAGATTAAGCGACGAGGTTCGAGTTCGAACGTATAGGGGACCAGCGATATATGGTAAAAGGAATGGCTTATTACTAGCAGCGATGGCGTCGGACCGAGCAGCTTGGAGAAGCCAGCGGAGCCAGCCTAACCAGTGAGAGCTGACCTAAGGGACGAGGACTTCTATCCTGGAGGCAAACTGCTATTAGAAAGCCGAGGTGGTGCTGGCGGCGTTCTGTCGTGAGCCCGACTCCCTCTCGAAAATTTCTTATCGCACTAATGGCAAACAGGAGTAAACTGTTCTGAAGGGGTGAGCGCTCTTTGCTATACGTCGTTTGCTATAAATTGCAAGAAATGGAGTTATCTGTTGTCTAATACATTTATCACGGGTTCATGAAGAATTTCATTTATTTCGAAAAATGCGTTGTTCAGGTTTTTTTGCATTTCGCGTACCTATAAAACAGCGGTCAAGGAAATGAAAATTTATTTTCGCCCGTACCAGTTCTATATTATATCACTAAATTGTAAATTATTGAAATGAGATGGCTGGAGATTTGTCTGCGTTTTAAACCTGGATTCAGTATAATTGGATGGTTGGTTATATAGTGGACAAATGATTTGTAAAAGAATTTAAACTGTGCGTTTAATCCATATTTCAGCCAAATGATCGAAAAAATTTGAATTGCATAACAGAAGAGAAAACTAAGAATGAAATGGCTAAGAATGCTAATGCTCAAAAATTCTAAACGATTTATTTAAAACCTGTAAATATGTGTAAGATATGTGTAAGATTTTTGCACCACATCACGAGGTAAAGATAATAGGAAATATTTCTCGATGAGACAACCTAAACGGTTCGGCAAATCTGTTGAATTAATGGCGAATGTACAGGAACAGTTCTTTCATCATCGAAATCCTGGCTTGAAAAATAATTAATTTAAATTCATTAGAAGAATTAAGCAATTTTATATAAGAAATTATTTAGCTTATGCTTATGGGTTGTTGTGAGAAAAGAACGATTTAAATTATTTAAAGCAAAAGGGTTAGCGATTGATTGAAATTTCGCAGAGATATTTGCAAGAACCTAAATAAAATTAATGGAGCAATGCAGGGGCCCAAACTCTCCGACGAAGTTCGCATTTGAATTTTTTTCTAATGCTTTTGAATATAAATTAAATAAAATTAATAATAATATTGTATAATCCATTCCTCAGCTTCGCATAATTTTTATTTATTTCATCCGCTTAGCTTCAAATTAATTTCCCTATTTTTCCCTATTTTTATATGCGAATTTCCCTTTTTTTTATAATCATTAATTTGAGTTTATATTTTAACGAACTGCGATCTTCTCGAATAAAATTTCGTTATTGTTGTCAGTGGTAGTAATTAAAAAGAATTTTTTTTTTAGTGTTTCGTCAAAATATTTTTTAGTATTTTGAATGAAATGAAATGTAATTCTATGGTATAATTTTTAGATTTAATTTTTGGTTTTTAGCGAATGATGAATGAATTTTTTTCGATAAATGCTTTGCGCCGTTTATATGTTTTCGGTGAAATTTAGTGAATGTTTTAGAAATTGAAATTTTAAGGCATTTCTTTGCATCTAAATTTTTTTGTCTAATTTTTCTAAAATTTATTTTAATGGAAGCGAAATTGACGGAAGGAAGGAGCCGAAATGCCGTTACTGCTTAAAAAGGTGTTTAAACCAAACAAATGTCCCTCGGATCTCAAACCCGATTCTCTGGTTTTCTTTTCGCCCTTAACGAACGAAGTATTTGTTTCATACGAGTAAGATTTTTGTAAAACATTTTTTGGTATCATTTTATGGCTTTTTTTCCGGAACCGTATATACCGCATCTTTTAAAAAATAATTACTAAATACTGGAGAAATATTATCGTTATTCAGCAAAAATATTGCTTTTTAATTGTTAAACTTTTATGGAAAAAGAATAATGAATTAGACATGAGTTAGAAGTGTCAGAAGTTTATGTGTAATATGTATTTTTTCCTTTTCTAGTTCATTTTTTGAACGGCAAATCGCTTTAAATTCAATGATATGGACATGTGCTGCAACAGGGAAAACTAGTCTCACTTTTGAGGAAGCGCTGGAATCAGAAAGAAATGCTCAGGTGAATCAGTCTTCAGACGGTTATTTTGCATTTTGTGAATTGAGTAAATTGTTATTTCCAGTTCACTTCGAGCTTTTCTAAATTTTTTTGAATTCAAGATAAATAGTATTATAGTATTTTATATGGTATTATATTTTTTAAAAATACTTTTATTGTTGTTATCATTGGTTGTTTTGCCCTAAGTCGTTGAGCATTTGCCATGTGTGGCCAGTGCCGTTGGCTATACAGTCTGAAATTTTTGCTAGGGATTTACTTGGCATTAGCATATTGATCGCCAGCATCCGCTATTTTTAGCGATTATTCCTATCAAGAACGAATGCTGGATACAAATCCAACCTACCATCCGTTTTTGCCCTCTTTCAATTAAATGTTTATTTGAATTTGAACTCGGTAATGATCGACGAATTTATTAGATTTTTTAATATTTTTTTATTTAATTCCATAATTTATCGATATATATTTAGTTTCTAGTATTTGTATTTATCGTGCTACTGTTATTAATAATTTTCATTGCTATTTTTCTCTATTTTAGGAAAGCATTCACTCCTTCCCTGATTACTTGGGTACTCCGTTGCTTTTTCTTGTTCATTACTTATCATTTCGTGGGCGATTGGATGATTTGGTTGATGATTTGCATATGTTTATCAAAAGTCGATACTTTGTTGGTGAAGAATTAATTTATATTGGTGAACGAAATAAAAAATTAGTTCGTGTATTAGGAATATCATTTGTTGGAGAAAATTTTACACCTAAAGTTGGCTCGGAGCAAGATGATTTGAATTCTTCGAGGTAAGATTTGGAGATCTCTTATATAATTTTAAATATCATTTTTTCTTATAATTTCAATTATTTTTATTTGGAAAAAGTTTCATTTGATTAATTTTGTGTATAGATAATTTCACTTTAAAATGAATCCCATTTAATTGAGAAATTAGTGAATTATATATTTTTAATTATTCTCTATTCAAATATGAAATAATTGAGAAAAAAAATATAAGATAAATGGAAATAAATAATTATAATTTTAGTGGACGTGGTACTTTATTGATTGGTTCAGCATATGAATACAAATATACAGTACAGATCATCAATAATGATGGAACAGAATCAGATCTTGGTGTAAGGGAAGAAGTTGAGCATAATGAATTAATGTAAATTGTTTTACCTTAATTTTTCTTTTCTTTATCTTATACCGGGAAAGGGAAAATTTTGTCGGTATTTTGAAGATATTTTCATTCGTTTTATTTTATTTTATTTTTTTGTTTCAGAAGACCGAAAGCCTTTTCTTCACGCGTCAAGTTGAAGCTCTTTCTAAAAAACTGTTGTTATTCAAATTCTGAGCGCATGCTTGTGAAGGTTTTTTATATACTTTTTTATCATGGATTTTTTCCTATTCGTTTATAAATTGATTGACGTAATTTTTTGAAATTTTTTATTTTATTAAATTTGTAAATTGATAAATCTGCGGTTTTATTTCAGAGAAATTTGGTAGAAGAAAGAGGTCTGGACGAACTTTCGTGGATTGATGTTTTTGCTGGTCCTACAGCAATTTTTCCTCGTACTCCTTTAGTTTATCGTAAAGGAGTTTTACGCCCAGCTAAGGCCATTATTGGTTTGTTTTATATTTTATATAAATTTATTCTTCTATTTTTAAAAGCAGTTTTGCTAAAGATGTGGAAAATGAAATTTTAATATTTGGTAGTTTAGAAAAGTTTTTTTTTAAGTGAATAATTTACCATTTATTGCAGTATATTTTCGAAATGTAAATAAATTGTTTTTCAATTTGTCTAAGGAAATATCCTCATTTATCCAAATACCCAATATCTTAAATATCCTAATATCTTAATATTCTCATTTTATTTAATCATGCTCGTATTTTAAACATTTAATTATTTTAGCACATGAATCTAAGACGATTTTGCACGAAAATGATTTTCAAACCTCGTTTGAATCTTCCAAAGAAACTGGAAATTCTAGAATAATGAACGTATCTTTGAATATCGAACAATCCGAATTGCTAAAAAAGACTAGAAAACGAGAAAAAAAAAGTGATCTGGCACGTCAAGAGGTGCCATTTTATTTCTTCGAAGAACGGAATGAAATAATTAAAAAATTTATAACTAAATTGCTGAAAAGACAACTTTTGAAGAGTATTTTATGAAGCGATTTGATTATCAGTCTGTTGAACAATAACGTCGGTTTAATCAAATTTTCATTTTATTTTTTGATTTCAGATTATTTTGCAACAGGAGGAATTGAAAGTAATGATAGAAAATGCTAAAAAATTTGGTATCGAAGATTTATCTAGGTGGAAACAGGAAAGAAGATTACTATCAGCTGGTGAGATAAACGATTTAAAGCAGCAGATTCGTAATGCCAAAGAAAAAGTGACATTTTATTTTTTCAGTTCTTAATCTAATATGTTTTGGAATAAGTTTTTTTATTTTATTTCATTATTTTGAGGATAAAGCAAAAATTATAAGAAATAAAAGTTTAAAAAAATGTAGAAATGTGATAAATATATAAAAGTCTATTGTAAAATTTACTCGACTAGTTAGGCGTTAAAATCATCAGATTTAAATAAATCTTTGTTCGAATTAGAAATTTTCAAAATCATGTCTTTACTTTTGTATAGGAACGAGCTAAAATTCGTGAGGCAAAACAGAGGGAACGTGAACTTTTTGTGGAATGGAAAAAACCGAGAGACGATCTTATGTGTGACGATCTAAAAGTTGGAACTTTTAAAATCAACAAATTTACGAATAAAATTATCTAAACACGAATTTAAATTTAACAAATTAAATATTATTATTATTAAAATTAAATTAAATTAAATTTTATTATACGAATTAAATTCTCATGGAATGTATTCTTTCAACCATAGCTTGTTAACTTGTTTCCATTTAGCCTCTTCCTAATTTTGCTTTATTCACTCTTCCTGATTGGCTTGGTGAAGATGAGTGGATGGAATGTCTTCAAATTTATCAATTTTTCCAGAGTTTTTCAGAACTTCTTCCGATAAAAGAGGTAAAAATTCTGTTTGCTCGCATAGTTTTCAAATTTTCTTAAATTATTCGAAATTAAAAGTGATTTGAAATTTATTGGTTTCAAAAGTTTTTAATTTTTTTCAAAACAATTGGTAGATATGAAAAATATATGAACCCTTTTTATTAAATTAAAAAATAAAAAAATTCGAAAATTCCTTAATTACCAATCTCTTAATTTTTGAATGAAGTCGCTTAATTTTTGATTCAAATGAAATTTAAATTTAGAGAAGGGAGGATGAGGATTAGCTGAATGGGTTATTGCTGATGGAGCACTGACGCTTTGGGTTTTTTCGGCAGAAATCCTGGATACTTTGGAAAATCCTGGATCCTGCCGATCCTAGCGATTCATCTGTATTTCATTGATTGTTTCCCTAATAAACCTGGTTTAACCCGACAAAACGGTAGACCCAGTCTAATTATAAATGGTGGGTGCTTTTAGAAAAAAAAAATGATTTTTAATTTGAAGGTACGGAGGGGAAGTCGTATTAAAATATCTGACATCATAACAGCTGTTCATAATCAGGATCCAAGGTCTAATATGTTTGTGGAATTAATGCAGATCCTTTTAAAAGCAAAAGCTGAACGTGCGGATGAAGAAGATGGTGATGAAGGTTGGTAAAATTTTTTTTCATTTGGCCAGTTTGTACACCACGTACTTATTAATAATAGTTAAATGGACAACAATTTATGAAATCGAAAAGAAATAAAATATTAAATTCTTTATTAAATGGTATTGTTATAAAAAAAATATAAGTAAAGAAATCATCTTTGAAGTTAATCCAAATAAATGCAAATAATATTTTACATTTTCCATAAAATTAGTGAAAATAGAACATATCGTCAAATATAATTAATGATGCGAGCAAAAAATTATGATTCAGTAATATAATTTTTTATAATAAGCTGCAAAAAATTTACATAGTTAATATTAATATTACAAATTAAATTACAAGTTAAATTATAATTATATTGTTACAGTTATAATTTTGCATTTATAATACAGTTATAATTTTTTATAATAAGCATTTCTTCAACGAATTGAATATTGAACTTTTTCAATTTTTAATTTTATAATTTTGTTTAATTTTATTTTATTTTAGCAACTTTAAATAATAAAGATGACTTAGCAATTGATGCAAGCTATGAATTAGACCATAAAATTTATGGAGAGTCTATTCGACAAGCCACGCTTTTACATGAAAATATTAGAATGACCCATGGTGAGCTGCTCGTTATTTATTATTTTTATGTTATTTCTGTTCTTAATATTCATTTTGAATCTAATATGCACTGGTCCTTATTTTTTTAGGTATGAGTGTTCGGCATCTACCAACTGATTGCATGACAATAAGTGAAATTATTAGATTGTCTCTTTTAACTTCCGGATATTATACTGGTGCTGCAACTCATCGTCATCGTTTACAAAATCGAGGTGGAATTCGTTGTTTTGAAGATGACGGATTTCTTTTTGTACGAAATAATACTGAATGCATGAAAATTCTTGAAAAGGTTTTTTTTTATAAAATGTTATATATCAGATATTTTTTTGATTTTTTTCATGATTTGGTTTTTTTTTGAGGATTCTATATTCAAACTCGACTCGAAACAGCGTTTAAGAATTTTGAACGTTTTTGTGCAGCAGTTAATGAGTTATCACAAGTTCCGAGCCTTTTCAGAGGATAAAATTTCAATATTAACTGATTTAAGGAAAGAATTAAAAAATTTGCGCAATTTCGATATCAATCAAGTAAGTTGTTTTAGTATACTATCTGTACTGTTGCATTTAAATAAAATATTTTCGAAACATTATTCAAAAAATTTCGCAGGAACGGGAAGCTCGAGAAGCAACTTTGCTTTGTGAATATGAAGCTGAGCATGAAAATGAGCATGAAAATCATGGTAATAATGAAATTAATAATTTGTCGATCCGAAAAGCTCCCATATCAGAAAAAACAAGCTATTTGTTGAACTTCTCACGAACATTAATAGAAAATGATGTAAACGGCGAGAAATTAAATGAGTTGAAGAAGGTTTGGTTACATTTTTGTGTATTATTTATAAATAATTATTTATTATTTATAAATAATTCCCTTTCAGTAAACTTTTTATTTCGAAAATGATTATAGTTGTTGCTTAATGGTGTTTCTTATGGCGAACTTGCAATTGATGAAATTCCTTTTATACGAAGCTTACAACAACGATTCATATCAGAAAAAGAACAAGAAATGTTAGATGAAATTTATGTATTACAAGGTAATATATTTATTTTCATATGATTTTTAATTTGTCGCTTTTTTTGCATAAATCTAGTGAATGAAAAAATCGGAATTCTAATTTGGATTTCTCATTAAATTTAAATGAATGATGAAAAGTAAGTTTTCAATTAGTGAAATATTATTGTGGATTTACATTTCTTTCAAGCAAATTTGGGTTGGAATTTTTTGGGACGTGATAGAGCTTTCCGATTATATTGGTATTTTGATTCCCTTTCGCTCCTACTTGTCGAGAATCCAACTATTAAGGATGAAATTGGTGAATGTTGTGGTGCAACTCCAGTTGATAAGGTTTTTCGATATTTTTTATAGAATTAATTGTTTCAATAATTATATTACTATAATTTTCTTTTATCTTATGTTTTTGATATTTTCATAGGTTTTTTTTTCAAGAGCACTCACCATTCTAGTTAGACTTGCTTCGCTGGCTTATCGGATTAGATAAATGTGCAAGGGAGATAGATGAATCGCCAATATAATCCAGATTTCTGAAGGATAAGTTTACTCTTGGACTAGAATCTCAACATCGGCGCTTCAAATTGAACAAGTGCCATTTTACTTGCCTTAGGCAACAGTGACGCCGAATAAAGTGGTGTATCGGTCGGCTTCGAAAACAAGCTTAAATTCTAGGAAAAAAAAAACTTTATTAGAACTTTTTGTAGAACAGAATAAAGTTGGGCGAGATTTCAGCTGATTCTCTAATTAGATTATGTATTTTATCTTAGATCAGTGAAGATATTCGACAGTTATTTATCGATGAAAATCAGATGCGTTATGCATTGCCTTCTTGCACATCGAGCAATGATTGCCCTGTGCATTGTTTTAAACGGAGATCGCGTTTCCAAATTATTGATTCAGTCGAAACACTAAATGCAGTCAGTTTTCATTTCTCAAATAAATTATATTTAATTCCTTTAATGATCGAAAGATATTCTGTGATGTTTTCACTGTGTAATGAAGGTTTGGGAGGTGATTCTTGTAAATTAACACTGAAAATTGAAGAAGCTTACAAATATTTAGATAAATAAACAATAAATAAAATTAGATAAATAAAATTTTAGTTTTTAAATTTTGTATTTTTTTTGGTTGTTTAGCTAATTGGAGCTTGTAATCCTCGTGGATATCGGGAGGCAGAACTTCTCGAGAACTTAAAATATTTCCAGTCTCGTTTATGCGGGCTGCTTATCCACCATTCAAGAAGAGTAAGTCCATAAAAAACAAGTTCCAAATATTTCCTTTTTTTTATATATTCCAGACATCTATCAGTGATTTGCTAATAGCGAACATTAATCCTACTATTTCATCTTTTGATTTTGATTGGCCTAATGAAATGGTTAAAATGCTACTGGACTTAGAGAACAAGGTAAATCTTTAGAATTCTATGAATATTTTACCCCCTGTTATATTTTGAGAAGAAAAGTGGAAGATAGTTTATAATTTCTTTATAAATTTTTTTTTAAATTTTTTTTATTTTTAATATTCTAATTTAAATCAGAGACTTCAGCATTTTTGGCTAACAGTCCACTTTTCTAGATTTAATATATTTATTGCTCCTTTTCATTAAAATATTAACAAAATTAAACTAACTTTGATATTAAAAATTCCAGATCTAGTGGTACTTGCCATATAATTTTTTAGAATCATTAAAAAGATAAAATTTCATAAAAGCACAAATAATTTTCAATGTCATCTTACTCCTATTGAGAAAAGCTTTTCTCGATCTTCTAATCACGGTGTAAACCTTTGGTTTAAATGATTTCTTTCCAGTAAATGTTTACTATTACTACAGATAGAACAAGGTGGTATTGGTCATTTGGCAATTCGAAATCGTAGTTCCAATCGTGAAAAGTGGCGTAATGGTCTTTTAGTTGAACGAGATATTTCTTCTTTTATTCAAGGTTAATCTGTTAATCCTTTATTCGAATCTGTCTTTTTTGAATTTTGAATTTTTTTGAATGTTTTATGGAATCGATATTTAATGCATAAAAGTGCAGAAAATTCATGCCGAAAAGTTTAAAAATCTTCTGATTTAACTTTATTATTTACTTTATTTCTGTTAAATCCAATGTATCCAGAATATCGGTCAGAATTATAATATACTTGAAGGTTATTTTAATGATAAAATATTTTTTTTCAACTTTGTAATGATTGTTTAAATAATTATTTAAATTTTTAAACTGTTCAGGTGATATTAAAGTTTTTGACGATTTAATGATTTGTCATACTGATTTCGCAAAGCTCAGTGTTGTAAATCAGATTGCCATTGCACTTCTGCAAATTGCTCAAGGATTAAATATTCGATTTCTGCAATTTCCTTTTGTAAAGCAAGATTCCAAGGACACTTGCGTCAACATCCCTACTACCACTTTTGATTCTTGGCAAAAATCATTGCTCAAATGTACATCGATCTCAGCCATTGCTCTTTTTTTTTCAACTTTGAATTCGGCCATATTATGGGACAAAAGTCGTTTGCAGGTAATTTTTTTGTATCGTGAAATTATGAAAGCATCATTATGCGTTGAATTTTCTTTGATTTCTTTGACATGTTTTTGAAGGCTAAGTGTCGTGAATGTCGCCGAAAGGGTGTTTTGGAAAAGCTTATTGTGTGTATCAGATGTTATCGGTGCTATCATATAGACTGCATCAAACCAAAACTTTCAAGGGTTGGTTTTATAAAAATAATTTTTACAGAAATCACTATACTTCACGCAGATTTTTCGGCCTTTTTATATAACACAAAAATGTTATCATATAATACATTTTTCCAGGTTTTTGAGAATTGGTTGTGTTCAAATTGTTCTTCTTTTAAAAAAATTGGTGAAACAGAACAAGGGAAAAATAAACGTAAGATTGTTTCTAGAAAACGAATATTCATTTCCTTTTTTAGAATAAACTCTTGAAATTTTTGGAAATTTTAGCCAAAGAAACTAATGGTAGCGCAGAAGACGATATTTCTGATACTTCCTCTCATGAAGAAAATATTGATTCAATAAAAAAAAGTAGACGAAGGTATTTATTCTATATTTCGTTATTTTGGTGCTTTTAATTTTTTGAAATCTTTTTCCAAAGACAATTTCATTCTTTCCCTTTTGTGATTATTGGTTTTTCACCATTTATTTTTCAGAGTAGCGAATTCTGGAATCACAAGTGGTCGAGTGGTCAGAAGGGTAAAAATTTTATAAAATAATAAAATAATAATTGCACTAGTTAACATGCATTATTTTTTCTGCGCCGATTAGGTGAGTTAGGTAATTAGTGAATTTTAAATTGATTTTAAATTGATTTTAAATTTTAAATTCAATTTAATTTTAAATAATAAAATTATAGGTTATACATGTTGAACAATTAAGTAATGCGGCCAAAGGAAGCGTTAAGCGGAAGTCAAACCTTGAGGAAGCTACTGAAAATGGCACAGATGGTAGTGAGACAGAAATGCGATTGAAGAAGCGAAAAATTGGTTTATTTTGCGTTTAATTTTTCACATTATTTTAGTTTTACAACTCATCCACATTTTATCATATTTATTTTCATTGTTTTCATTTATTTATTTTTTTTCCATGAATTATTGTTAAATTATAGAAAATTATAAAAGGCCTATCATTCCTATGAGTTTACGTCAAGCAGATCAGCAGAGTCGAGATTCTTTACGAGCGTTGGAATCTGTAATACGCGATGCATTGAAACAAGTACATGCTTGGCCTTTTTTTGGGCCCGTTGATGCCAAAGAAGTACCTGATTATTACCTGGTAATTTTTTAAATAATTTAATCGTTAAGTAAATCATGGAGGACATTTTTACTTTAAAATAATGTAGAGTTGGATCACGATATCGATCGAAAAAAATATTAAGGAAATCGATTGAAAATTAACTTATATTGATCCTTTTAACCCTTTCAGATTATTAAAAGACCAATGGATTTGCGAAAAATCATGAATAAATTAAAAAGGAGATTATATGATAATCCTGAAGAAGTAATCTCAGATATTAAATTAATTTTCGAAAATTGTCGCTTATATAATGATGAAAATTCGGAAATTCGTAGAGTTAGTTTTATCTTTTCGTCAAATTTCAAAAATAGTCGAGGAAAGTGCATTGATTTGGAGACTAACTTGTAGCAAAGGGAGTTGGGATAGATGCACTATGAACTAAATTTTCTAATATAAATTTGCAATTTTCTTAGTTTTCAAATTTTTCGATTTATATTTACAGTGTGGTGATACTTTGGAAAATTTTATTGACCATAAAATCAATGAACTAGCAATCAAAATTCATGCAAATCGTCGAACACGTTTTGGAAAACGTTAAGTGCAATTTTCTCTGTATATATTAGCTGCTTTCACAGATCATCATTGTATGTTCATGTGTGTTGTCTGGTTGATTTTGATACTTGATCATTTTATTTTTTATTTCGTTTTTATTTTTTTTGAATTTAAATTTAATTTTTCTTCATTTTCTACCATTATTCTGTTTCAGTATTCCAGTGATTAGTTGTAGTATAGCATATTTTTCTTATTTTATCATTTTATTGGATTATGTGATTTATTGCTGAAATTATTTTAATTAATCAAATCGTTTGTTTGGCAGAGTTCATATTTTGCGTTCAGTCGTCAGACGAGTTTTGTGACATTGGAAAATATTATTCTATTGATATTTCAAATTGTTGGCTTTGATATATTGTGTTTTGTTATCATTCATTTTACTTTTATTTTGTTATCATTCATTTTTGAACATTGCGGTGATATTATATTATTGTCTTATCTTTTTATCTTTTTATTTTTAAAACTTAATTTATAGACAATACAAAATCATTTTCTTATATTCATTCGCAAAGATTTTTTTTTTAAATCCCACTCATTTTGGAAGGCCAAGAAATGATCATTGTTGGTTTGCTTTTAAAGTGAGTTCCAACAAAAAATTATTATAAATTTTTGTATTAATTATAACTGATTTTTTTGGCCAAGCCTTTGAATATATATTCTTATGCTGAATATTATTTTCAGTTTCGTTGAACTCGTTAAACAAATTAAATATTCCCATCATGATTTGTATTTGCAGCTTTATTTTCCTAATTTTTTTGATATTTGAAATTTTTTCATTTATAAACCTTTGAAAATGAAAAACTTGATATTTCCATTTCCATGATATTTTCTGATATTTCCATTTGAAAGCGGCGGTTCTGGTTAATTTTTCATTTTATGAATTAATTATATGACTATATATAACAATTAATTATATCGTAATTATATATTATAATTATATTATAATAAATTGAATCTCTGTATCTTGGAAGCGATAATTTTTGGATATTTTTCCGGCATGGATTTTTATTTGAACATTCCATTTATTTGTGAAAATTTGATAACTTTTACTAATATGGTTGAGACTATGGTTCATTTTAGTCTGTCGAAAAACTTATAGTTATTATATGTAAATGCGGTCGAAGCTTACTCGGACAGAGCTTATTAAACCTGTATCTTCCTCAGTTTGCTACTGGTTAGTTTCTTAAAAAAGTTTCTGGAATCTTTCAAATTTCATCAATTTGATTAGCGGTTTAATAATTCATGTAGCTGTAGGTTATTGGGTACATAACTGACCAGTTGTTCACTCTAGTATTTTCTCTAGTTTATAGGAGTCTCGACTGAGATGGTGAAGATTATATTGAATTTATGTGGATTAATGAAATTTGTTTATTGCGAATTGGTTGTTTTAATTTCTTATTATTATTTGCAGTGATGGGAAACGTGAATTGGGTTCATTGGAATTATTTTGCGCTATTTGTCGTAAATGGTTTCATTCAAAATGCTTGAGAGATCTCACTGAATTGTTCGCTTAAAAATTTTTTTTTAAATCAATTTTTAAATTAATATGGCTTATTGGCGAAATCGATGTTGGAAATATGTATTTAATATCCCATTTTCAATGTTCCTTATTGTTATAATTCTAAAATATATATAATTTCAGCTATGGACTTTCTTTTATGGTTTGTTATGTATTTAACTGTGGTGATTGTAGTCCAACAAAATCGGAAACATGGACCCCAAAACAAGCGAGTAAGCATTCATTCTCGCTACTTGATCAATCATTTTGATCATTTTTTGTTTCCTAGAAGTTTCTTCATTTCCATAAAATTCATATTCTATTCAAACTATTTGTCCAGATTTTGTTCACATGTGCGTCACGGTGCTTGCAAATTTGACTTATAATGTAATAAAAGATAAAGAAGATGCTATAAGAGATGGAGTGTTGGTGAATCCAATTTTTTTTAATATCGAGTCAGAGATTATACCATATTTTAATGCCCAGTGGGAAAATTTAACTTCAATGACGAGAAGGTTTTTTTGCTTTATTTTTTTTTTTAATGTCATTTTAGGAAAAATTCCAAATTTTATAAATTTTTTCAAAATGGTTTATTTGTCACATTTGATTTGGAAATGATTTTATTCATTTAATTAGATAGTTGAAAACTCAATTTCAACGCTCTAGTTCGAATTTTGGGGCAAATTTTGTGCCTGTGACATAGATATCCAACTTTTTGATTTTTCTGGGCCGCAGTGAGTGAAGAATTGTCTTGGACATGATTAAGACATGATACAAAAAATTATTTGCCATAACTTTAACTTCCCATAATTTAGTCTTCGTATCGAACTGTTGTGGTTTGAAACAGCACTGATAAGCTGGTTAAAGTCACACATTTGCACTTAATTAAATCGCTCTGCAAGTTTCGGCATGATTGTTCTTTAAATGAATTCACTTGATTCTTTTGACACTCAAAATCTTTCTAGTATTTCACCTTGACTTAACCACTTCTTTTCTAGAAATCAGTATCTCCATAACCATATTTTTGTTGGCTTGTGGAGCTTATGAAATTTATTCTACTATTTATTATTGTAAATTGTAAATTTATTTTACTATAATTTGCTTGGTGTTATACATTTTAAACTTTCACATCTAAATGTTCTTGGTTGTTCATATGAGTTTAACAGTTGTATTTTATCAATTTTATAAGTCCATCGCTTTTAGCAGCTACGGCCCGGCGCCTTCAATAACCAAACCAATTATTGTGCTTAGTGAAAATAGTCCTAATGAATTTTTATAGCTTTAAACAAATCATAGAATTTAATCTTTCGCTAGTACTACTTAAGAGCATTCTTCAGTGACATATCGTTATATCAATATCGTTGAAATGGCATAAAAATGGCAAATTGAAGTGTATCAGTGAGATCTCAGTATTTTTGCCAAATTGTAGATTTGAAATTAGTGGCTTTATTTTCCAAATATCTTTCGTTGGATTTTCCTGTTTCTGTAATTCATATAGCTATAGATAACCTGATTTTAAAAAGAGTTTTTTTTTTCGCTAGGATTCTTTTAAAAAAAATTTCTGATATTTTTTACATACATTAACTAATAAATTCACCATTAGTAAATGGTTTTGATAAATGGTTGTTTTGCACTTAGATTTTACCTCATAACTAAGTTTTTTAAGAGTGTTTGAGTAACTTTACAGTTTTTACTAAAAAAATTTTTAAGATTTTAGATTTTTTTAGTTCCACTGTTTTGTCCTTAATTCCTCGATATGCATTGAATTTTATAGAGTGAAAAATACTTGGCATCAAACTCTCTTGAGAGCTCTAACGAAGGAAACTGATCTGTTTGAAACATCCGAAGATGGACAATCATTCGCACTTAGAGAAAGGGATTTGCTCTCTATTGGGCCAGCCCACGAGCCATTGAAACAGGTTTGTTAAGAAAAATTGGTAATTTTCTGAAGGCAGTTATTTATATACGTTTATATGTGATTAATGAAATGTGAATGTAAGTAATATTTACACAATTTCAGATTGGTAAAAGCAAAGGAAGTGGAAATATATCGCATCGTGAATGCAAAGATCAAGAAAGAATTGATGAATCAAGCGATGGTCCAAAAACACGAGGCTCGAAACGCCGCAATGCGGAAGGTGGTTTAAATGCATTGAAAAAAGCAAAATAGTATGATTTCCTTTAATTTCTAAGAACTCCATTCCTTTATCATATTGATTTTAAATGGCTTTTTATCCTCTGGATCTTTCCTATATATTTTTTAAGCACGGCAGATTATGCCTCAACACGTATATCTGGTATGGCTGTTCCTATCGATTTTCCATTCAATCGTGAAGGCTACCGATACTATTTAGTTGAAAAAGATATGAGCGTGCCAAATAGGTAGGCTCATGTAATTTGAATTTTAAGACTTTTATTTTAATTTCAGTTTTTTTTAAATTTTCGGTCACTGGTTCTCCTGAGAAGTTATATTCTTCTTTGTGATATTTCGGTTTACCACTTCTGTTATTAATTTATTATATTGTCGATGATTCCAAGAAGAATACATCATAATTCTAAACATATTTCGATTCACATAGTGGATTTATGTGAAGCAGTTGAGGGTCTTAAGGCTTTTGACTTGCTTCATTAGCAACTAAAAAGCATAAAGAACCATTTTTTAACGATATAAGAAATTAGAAGACTTTGTCCCTCCGACTAAAAAAACTCAGAAAAAACGATTAGTAGTTGATTCAATATGAACGAACGAACGAATAGTGTAGTAACATTCAGGTGAAACAGATAGGAGAGAATATTATCTATATTTGCTAAACTTTATAAAAAACTATCGACTATATTGAGTTAAAATTCATTGGTTTTGATGTTATAAGAAAGGATAAGCCATGTGCTAATTGTGTAGTAAAAATATTGCTCTTTTAATTTTCTTCTGATATATCATATTTGTCTTTTTACTATTTTTTTTTACTAATCATTACTTTTTTTACAGCCCTTTGTTTATTACTGTATATTTGTTACTTTAATAATATATTAAGTAGATTGAAACAGATAGATTTTTGATGCCTTAATTTTCCTAATGCAGACCATTATATAGTTAGGTTAATTGTATGATTACTTTTGATAATCCATTTTAAAAAAATAATAGAAAAACAATTTTTAAAAGCATCAGTGGTGCTCACTGCAGAATATCGAACCTTCAAACTTGAGTAAACTTTTTATTAAATATTTATACACAAAAATATAAAAACAGAAGACTTTTAAAATATTAATAAATCTTGCAATACTGGTGCCCCCAAATGGTAGATCGTTAGGAGATGGATGAGGCACTCGGTAGTGCCACGAAAGAACAACGGCAACGAGAACTTCGATGAAAAATATTTCTATTCAATGCTTCTCACATGCTCAACCCACTTCTCATATTATTTTTTTCGCACTTCCACCTCCCCTTTACCCAAAATAAACCCAGAATGGCCAAAAATGGTCCCTTGGAGATAATATTCGTTTTGAGATGGGCAAAGGGAAGATTCTATTCTCTCAAGAAATATTTTTATTTTTATTGTTGTATTTTTAATGTTGTATTTTTATTGTGCCTCTCGCTCATCAAGTTCTCTATTATTTTCTATCTTTCCTAACCTTTATCATTTTTATTTTCCTAATATTCTCGCAGGCGCGATGATCTGCTCATATTTGCAGTCATCTTCACCATTCGGCGACAATTGAGACTTTTGCTTGGATTTTAATACTACCTTGAACCAGTAAAGCTTGAACCAGTTTGTTCCATTTTTTCATTGGATATATTAATTACTGGAATAAATTATCTAGTGGCATCGTTTTACTCTGTATATCTCAAGCCACAATGTGATCGATGATAAAACTATACTCATTGCTCTTTGTTAGTATTGGTAGCATTACAACATTCTCATTTTACATCTTTACATTTTTTAAATTTTTTATTTTAACCTTCTTTGTTTTCTTTCCTGGAATTTTTTTTTTCTCGGTTCTTTAATTAAATTTGAAAGTTTATAAATGATTTAAAGTTGTTGGTAATATATTTAAGAATGAGAAAAGTTATGAAGATATTTTGGAGACATTTGGTAACTATGATAAGCAATAATTGTAATTGCTTATTTCTTATAGTTGCTTAAATTTTTTTCAAATTTTATATTTTAGAGAGGTATTCGAACAAGAAGATATATACGGCAAGCCAATTCCCGCTCATACTTATCGAATTACGACACATCCAACTGTAACACTGTCACCAAATGATCGAGCTTTTCAAGTTGGAATTTGCCACTGTCTTTTTGTAATTATTTCTTATTCTTTTTTCAATTTATTTTGTCAGGTTTTAGTTTTCAGCTAAAATTATCTGATGATCGACTTTCTGTTACTGGTTTTGAAGGATACTGCGTAGCTCGAGCAACACATCACATTTCTCATGGTACATACTACTATGAAGTCGTTTTCGTTTCGCAGCCTCCAGGTTCCCATGTTAGAATTGGTTGGAGCCAAGCTGTAGGTCTTGTTTTTTTTTTTTTTTTTTTGTTGCTTCTGTTATATTTTTCTCTTCAACTCTGAGATGTTGAAACCAGTGGAAGTTTAAATCATTTTTTATTGTTTGAAGCGCCTGTTCAAGCCTGTCTCGGTTATAATCAGTTTTCTTATTCGTGGCGAAGTTTAAAAGGGACAGTGTTTCATCAAGCAAAGGTAATCTTGTTGTCTTATTGATCGCTGTTTTTGAATATCACTGTAAAATTTATTATATAAAACTTTTTTTATTATGTGCTTTTTTATTTAATTTAAATTCAATTGCAGGGAAAGCATTATGCAAGTGGTGGTTTTAAAGAAGGTGATGTGCTTGGTTGTTTAATATCACTTCCTTCTTGTCCATCTGATCCAAATTATGATTGCATGTCTGTTAATTCTTTACCTCAGTCGTCTTCTTATTTGTTCCCTTCGCACAAAGATCTACCTCTTATTAACTTTAAACACAACTATTTTTATGAAGAGAAAGATGAAATACAAAATTTAATTAAGGATCTTAAAGTGGCATCGGGGAGTTATGTACGTTTATTTTCTGATTATATCATTCTTTTGCTTTTGTTAAAAAAAAAAAAAGCTGAATTGCTACCATAATTTGAGTTGTATGAAAGTTTTTCTTTTTTAACTACATTTTTTTAAATAATCAATTAGTAAATTAAATAAAATAAAAAAATTAAATATCCAGATGGATTTCTTGATTCGTTTGCAGATTGAGTTTTTTCTTAACGGTATCAGCTGTGGTATAGCATTCCGCGATATTTATGCTGGCTTCTATTTTCCTGCTGTTTCACTGTTTCAATCTGCAACTGTCAAATGTAATTTTGGTCCAGATTTTTATTTTTCGCTACCAGATGGCGCCAAAGCAATGTGTGAACGAGTTGAAGAAATGCAAATCGAACAAACTATTTCTGATGTTCTCTTCTTAGTAGAAAATGAAAAACGTTTAGCCGAAGAAGCCAGAAATTATCGTTCTTAGGAAATATAATTTTTTGTTGTTGATTTTTCAGTAGTTTTTTTTTATTTGATACTTTCCCATAGATATTCATAAAGGGTGAATGTAAAATCGTTGTTTTTTATTGCATACATCTTTTTGCTTTGGATTTTTATGCAAATTTTCTGTATTATATATCTGAAAAAAATTTTAAATAAAAAAATTTTAAATGATATTTCGAAGATGTTTTAAGTGACAAAAATTATAATGGCTCATCCTTATTTTAAATTTTTTTCATTTCATACTGCGCTGAATAAATTGTAAATAAAATGGTTATGGTTTTCTATCAATAATGAATATTGGTGCATAGCTATCCGGCAATGCTTATCATATGTTTTTATATGCAGTGATCTGAATGTAAATCATGCTGCAGCTCTTCTTGGAAAGTGATTTTCATTCTTCAGTGGTTCTTACAAAATTATTTATAGGAGATATGGATAAAGAAGATCTAGATATAACTAAGTGTCAGGATTATGTCTTACGAAAATCGCAGATTCCTTCGGGCATAACTACAAAGATCCTGGGTTATGACTTTAATAATGGAATAAATTTTGATGGCATCATGGATGCTTGCATTACTACAGGCTTACAAGCAACAAATTTTGCTAAGGCAATTCAAGTCCTCTTTTTGTTTTTCGTTAAAACTTTCATTTCTGAAAATAGATAAATCAACAAAACCGATCAATGGTTCATAATTTGTAGGAAATTGATGAGATGATTAAAGCAAGAATGGAAGGCGAAGCAAATGCATATCTGCCATATCCTGAAGGCAAAAGGAGAAGAAATTGCACAATTTTCTTGGGATACACCAGTAACTTGGTCAGTTCAGGTATAAGGGAAGTATGATTTTTATTTCAACGTTTTATTCCTTTTTTAGGCGCGAACAAGTTTTTCTCTTGTTTTTAATGTTAAAAATAAAAGTGAAGATTATGTGATTTTTTCTTGCTTGTAGACTATACGGTATTTGGTGGAACATGATATGGTAGATTGCATCGTGACAAGTGCTGGTGGAGTTGAAGAGGATTTGATTAAATGTTTAGCTCCATCTATACTGGGTTCATTTGAACTTGATGGCTCCTATTTGAGAAAAAAGGGTTTGAACAGGTATATTTATCAGATAATAAAAGATTTTATAGGAAATATGATAACAGTTTATAAGACAAGAACTTTTATCATTAGAATGGTTGAAACATGTTTAAAGTTATTTTCGCAAAAAATGGTTGTTACCAATATTTTTTTATTTTTGGTAATTTTGATTATTTCAATTTTTTCAGTTTAAAGTTCATGGAAATTTTAAATGGCGGCTGATTATTTGAGCGAAGTTAATTTTGTGGGAATTACAGAATTTTTTAAAAAATCCTTTTATACTGTTTTATTGCTTTATTATCCTTAAATTGTTCAGTCAAACCCAAAATAAAGTTAAATTATTAGTTCTATCATTTTTTGTTTCTCTAAGTGGAATGAAATCGATTTATTTCAAATAATGGAAATAGTGGAATGAGTCGATTTTTTGTTTTTTTTTGCCTAATATCCCATTTTATTTAGGCATATCGCCAGAAATTTGAGCTATTTAATTAAGAAGGTACGGATAAAAATTTTGTTTTAGGGCCGGAAATATTCTTATACCAAATGACAATTACTGTAGTTTCGAAAATTGGTTGATGCCAATTTTGGATAAATGTGAACTTGAGCAAAACGAAGGTTCTGTTTCGTGGACTCCTTCCAAGCTTATAGATCGACTTGGAGCTGAAATCGCTGATCCAGCTTCAATATGCTACTGGGCGCATCGCAATAAAATACCCATATTTTGTCCTGCCTTTACTGATGGATCTATTGGAGATATGCTTTATTTCCATTCCTATCGGAATAGCGGTATTAAAGTTGATATTGTCGAAGTAAATTTTGAAATTTTGAAAATCTATAAATCGTTTTTTTCTGCACGAAACTGTTATAAAATTGAATATAATCGTAATTGTGTATAACCAGGTCATATGAAACAAATATAATCATGATGCTTCAGTTTTTCTGATAAATTTTTTGCAGGATTTGCGTCACATCAATACTATGGCCGTGAAATCCTTGCAAACTGGCGTTATTATCCTTGGTGGTGGTGTTACTAAGCACCACATAAATAATGCGAATTTAATGCGCAATGGATCTGATTTTGCAGTTTATATTAATACTGGACAAGTAATTTATATATAAGTATATATTAAGATTCATTCTTGTTTTTATCCTATAACTAAGCTTCTTTAATTACCATTCGAAGATCATAAAAAGTTTTTCGATAAACAGTCAAATCGAGCTGTGAATTTTATTGCTTATCATCTTTATAGTTTTTGGACAACATTCGTCTTTTTTACGATTTTTATGTTTTAAATTTCGTAATGACGACATGTTCATATTAATAATGCTGATTCATTTTCTTTCACATGGATACAAAGAAAATTTCTTTTGAATGTTTAAAGAACACTAAAATTTTATTTTCTAAGATTTTAGGATTTCTAAAGGATAGCTATTCTAAAATGCAATTCTGATTCGTGCATTTATGGCCGTAGTTAATAGATATTTTATATTTAGTTAATACGCATATATGTAACTTTTATATAATTTGGGAGTAATTAGGCCTGAAGTCACTAAAAAAAACCAATATTTTAATTATTGGTAAGTGGTTAACTATTTTTGGTTTGGCTGTCTCCATTGGCTGTCTTTACAATGGGAAATTTTTGCTATGGATTCACTTGAGGATAGGGTTATGCTGGATACTCTCTCTGGTACCACTTTCTGCTTTCTTGGTTTTTTACTTTTTTTGGTTGGCAGGTTTTTCGTTTCAAAGGCGGGGTCCAGATTTTGAGACAGTAATCTGCGCGAAAATCAATCGGATATATCATCATAAGAAGTGAGGACGTTTCTTTGTTGCAGGAATATGATGGCAGTGATTCTGGTGCTTCACCTAATGAAGCCGTGAGCTGGGGCAAAATAAAAGATACGACGAAGGCCATAAAAGTTCATGCTGAAGCATCACTAATCTTCCCGTTTCTCGTTGCAAAAACATTTGCCCGCTTCATTGAAAAAACGAAAATAGAGGAAAATAACATTTGACTTGTTCCGGGACTCGAGAATTTTCCTCATTATTTTATCTCTTTGCTTCAAGCTTCGTTTCGTAATATATCTTTAAGAATAAATTTGTATAATTTTCGTTATTTCTTAAAAAATCTAAATTTTTATAATTTTTTTCTATTTTTAAAAAGGAGAATTGTTGTTTTGTTTTGCTTATAAAGAATAAATTTCAAAAAGAGTTTTGTTCAAAAATTCAGAAAAATTCAAAATTTTTTAAGTTAATTTATGAGAAAATATCTGAAATAATTGAAAAAATCTTTCGCCAATTATTCTTCATTCATTTTTGTATAAAGTTGAATTCAGATTGTTTCTGATGATAGAAGAGTTGATAAAAGACCTTAGTCATGGATTGATAAATTGATTTCCTGGAAATTTTTTCTTTAAAAGAATAGTGTGGTTCATTTGAATTGATCGCTTCAAATTTTTTCCAATGGATTTTCGATAATATTCTACGAATTTACTTTGCTTTCGCCTTAGGACAAGCAAAAATATATATTCATCTGTGGCATCTATTAAAACTTATTTTATCGTTTGATAAGGTGAGAAAGGCTATCTATAGTTCAATATATTTTTATCAGACATATAATTAGACACGCATGAATGATCTGTTTTTGAAGATTTGTGCCTATCATAAAGTAAGTAAAAATGCATTATCTGAAGAATTTGTGGTCGTTTATACGTTCCAAAATGTACGTAGGTTTTTTAGATTTCCACTATTGCTTTAAATGAATAATCCTTGTTTCTTGTTTGCTATGAATAATAAGGATGAATCAAAATATGAAGAGTTTTTGTTGCTCTATTATTCTATTACAAATAAATACGTTTTGGAATGGTTGGATCGAATGGTTGTGAAACCTATGTCATGAATCGCGACTTCGCCAAATATAATTGCCTAATTGCCGTTTTTCTCCTCATAATTCGCGACATATCTGCTGCGGTATGTATATTAAATGTCAGCACATTTGATTAGAGCTTTTCTTTGAAGTTTCTGAACCGCTTTATCGCGTATTTTCCGCTTCTAATTCACTGGGTTTCTTTGTTTTTGATTTTACGCTTTTATATAATAGAATATGGACATAGATGGTCGGATGGTATGGCTGATCTAATCTGTACTGAGTATCAGAGCTTAGATTTTCCGATCTGGCAGGATTAAACCTGTTTGGGTGATCCTGGCGACTCATCTATACTTCTGTCCATCTTTTTGACCATCTAGCTTAACCATGGTGAGCGTTAACCACCACTTATTAATACATCAATACCAGTATAAGACTTTCAATATGATCTTTAGTATCTTTAGTAAAGCAAAACGAAAAACTTAAATTGCAGTGACGGTCAAGCTCGTTAATTTTTAATTTTTCACATTCTGCAATAATTTTGGCCGTTTCCACATAAATAACAATAAAAATCTTATAGAAATCTGAATTGTTTTGTGCACAGTGCGCATCGCCAGTGTTTAGAAAGAATTGGGTGTTAACGACATTACCAATTATGCCGAAAAACATGCAGTTTTCAAATGGATGTCATAAACTCGGTGCACCACCACTGCATCAATATTTTGATGTGGTTCCTTGCCAAAATTCAACTTGTGTCGAAATACTTGCACCATATGGTAAAATTTTTTAAAAGAATGATAAGAAGGAAGTTGTCCATTAACTTGTTGCTTGATATAGTTTTAATTAAAAGAATCTACAAAATATCAGTGTTTCATTTATGTTATGTGGAATGATATATTGCCTAATATGGGCAATATTCGATGTTTTCAACGGATAGTAGTCGAGACAGACCTAGATCTGCGCCAAGTCTCATTTGGGTCCTGACTTAGGCTAGCCAGATCAAGAATGGAAGAAGAAAAAAATATTTGGCAAGATTTTATCGATGCCAAATTCTTTTCAAAATTCTTTTTTTTTTCAATTTTTCAACTTTTAAAGTGAATGATTATGATCTAAAATCATTTGTTTTACAGATTTGATGGAAGGCAAAAGATATGGTGTGATTCGAGGTTGCTATAAAGATTTCCTATCACATATTCCAACGAATTCAAGCATCAACTGCAGGTACGGTGGTTCAGGTTCATTAACTATTCTTTCACCAGAACTAAATGAGCCAAATGATTTACGATCTCTGCCAGAGTACATTGCAATTAGAACGTGTAGTGATGTAAATGTTATCAATGAAACATGCAACGTGAATTTATTTTATGCGATTGGAAAACAAGAATTCATCAATAATTTGCAAAAAGCCAATTGTTTACCTCTTTCAGGTAATTTTTTGATATATTGCAAATATAAAAATAAATATAATATAGTATAAATATAAGTCATAGTAGAATTCATAGTAGAATTTAAAGGCAATTAGATACCATTTTGAAACAAAAAATTGTAAAAAAAAGCTTAAAAGCTAAGAAGGGAAATTTTTGAAGGGAATCTTTCAAGAATGTGAGATCATCAAAATATTGAAGCCTTCTGCACCAAAAAGTATTATTAAAATGATATTTTATAACAAAGAAATGGGAAGAAAAATGGGAGGATGAGTACGATAAGAAAAAAGGAGAAAAAGGAGAATGATATAATTTTTGCCTTCAAAAGTAGTCCAGAGGAATTATGTTATAGGTACTATTAAATGTATTGAATGTATGCAATACGGTAATGTGGGACACTGTTCAAAAGACTCGACAAATACATGTTATGGAAAATATTGTTCAAAGTTTGAAGGAATGATTAATGGTATGTAAATTAATATATTGTGTGTTAAGTATTATACTTATATATTATAATTTAATAAATATTATAATTATAATTTTATAAAATATTATAAATATTATAATTTAATTTAATATAAATAAATATCCCCTGTATATCCTATGTTTTTTAAATTCTTCATGAAAATACGACCATTGCTTATAGCTTTTTTTGCTTCATTTGATGATTTGTGGTAGGAAAAACCCGCAAATGAAGTTCTATTATGAGTCAGAAAAACATCGAGAGAAATAGAGCTATTTCTCTCTGTCCTGCATTTCACGAACTTTAGGTGTCCATACAGTTGTTCGAGGTTGCTCACCGATTAATGCCTTGGTGGATCCAGTCTGCGCAGATTATTCGATGAATACAACTCTAAAAGTTCCTGTCCACATTCAAAGTGAGCCAGAAAGCAATCTTCATTTTCTTGAAGTAGCGAGCGATCAGGGTCGATCATGCATTTGTGAAACAAACTACTGTAATGGCCAAATACCTCCTTCTATATTTATTTCATTATTTTTAACTATTATTCTCAATATTTTACATTCTAAAGTTTTTTTTGCATTTATATATAACGCTATTGCAATACTTTTCCTGTGTCGCCCTTCTTTTTTTTCTGCATAAATTCATACATTTTATTTATTTTATGTAGTTTTCTCTTTTAAAAAGTTCCCTTTTAGTTTTTCAAATTGTTTAACTGTTTAAATTTCTAATATATTTAAATTTTTTGACCGCAACAATAACACTTTTTTTATAGAATAATAATCTTACTATTTATTATTTATCATGAACATCAAAATGTGCTTTTTAGTCTTTAATGATCATGATATTGGTATTATAAACATTTTTCCATTTGTGATTCAACATTGCATTAAAAATTTTAGGAAGAATCTTAAAAAATATATGATTTCCCTATTCAGCCAAGTTATTTTCAAGCCAAATCATTTTCGTGCAATATATTTATTAGAACTTTTTCAATAAAAACAATTTCTCATCCACATTCTAGAAAGATTGATAAGGAAAGTTGATAATTGATAACGCAAAGTTTTCATTAAATTTATGCTGCGAAATCAATACTCCTCGTTGATTAATTCATTGTATTGAAATTTTATTTAAAGATTTAAATATAAAGCAAAATAATCTGAATAATAATGAAAAATACAATGAAGAAATTATAAAAAAGTATTGGATAAAAACTAGTAAAAACACAAAAATGATTTCAAAAAGAATAATTGAGTGTAACGAATGAGTGATGTGCACTTTTTGAGTGTTGGCACCAACCAACTATACCGCTAACTGAAAACTGTAGGGAAGAGAACGCAACGTTGACGTAGACGTATTTCAGACATATAGGTACCAACTCACATTCACATTTACCTACGCTAACGAAATTCTTTGATGATCTGCCTGGTTAAATTCTCTGGAACACCACCGTATTGCATAACTTGCCAGAGCGCCGCCCGGTTGATTGAATCAAAGGTAACCGCAGAGCAGCTAAAGCTAAAGCACATACGGTAATTCGATTAATATCCCTTTCTCAGTGTGAAAATTTTGGTCTAAATCTAACTTGATTAGAGTGCATCCTATTGCCACGTACTGTCATGAGCTTATTGAGCAGAACAGAGGCAAAAACCAGAAAAATCTAACAAACTAATTCTTTGATAGCTGTCGCCTACACCTATCACCTTTTTCAGGAATTGAGAGCGGAATTTCCTTGCCCTAGTGACATGGCATTTGCTCCTTTTCCCACACCGATGAATATGATGTCTGCAGGGATATTGTGGCACTCAATAACGTTTGAAGAGTTCAACTGGCAGGTCTAAACCTTTGGGGTTTTTATTCCGTGTTTTATTCGGTTGGTAGTTCGTAAATGCAACCGTAGAACTCCAAATATTCTAGTCCGGGATGTTGTGTGGTTCATCGTAGTTAAATTTAGATTCTCTCCATCTTTGATGGCCTTAATGGGATTTCTTTTTTTTTTCTCGGCTCACAATTCATTTTTTTCTCATTTTCATTGACCATTTCTCGAGCTCCAGTTGCCTTGCAAAATTTTCGATAATTTAATTAATTTTCGATGTTCGAACTGCTCATGTTCTCCATGTTCAAGGTTATATTTTTTCAGTATCTAAACTTTGTCCGTATCGCCATGACTACCGATACCCAATATCCTCCGACAAGCACGATCTCGCGATCGGGCATCTGAACCATTTTACATGGGGTCTAGTCTGCCTTCTTCTGAGTCGTATATCCAAAAGTACATTTAACTGAATCCTAGAGGCAAAATATTAACTGGGACCAGTACTCTTCGGCAGGTACTAAGGTTTTAAAGTGAGGATAGATTGACTCAGTCGGTTGATGTTGGAACGTCGATGCTGAGGTTCTATTTCCTGCAGAAGTAAACCTGTCCAAAAATCCGAATAATGCTGGCGATTCACCTGTTTCTATCGCCAAGGGACTCCCTGGCATATTTGTCCAATGAGACAAGCCAACGAACCGAGTTGAACTAGTTATGGTGAGGATTCTTTAAAAAAAAGTTTTAAAGTGTTGCTTAAGGTACTTTAGAACACCGTAAAGTACTGATTTTCCTAATCATTAATCATTTAACTTGAGTGAGTCAAAAGATTTTGAGGCATTCTTATCCGCGCTGTCAATTTTATTTTAATCTTAGTTCAAACCATGAAGTAGTTTTGTACGTTATCAGGCTCTGGGATATGCGAGGTAATCTAGTACAAAACTCTTTGATTAAAATATAATCAATTCGATATAAGTAGTGGTTGTTTGGGAGTTCCATTTACTTTAGATGTTTTTGCAGTGTTAAAATCATACATTGGTGATAGAAGGTTCATGCTCCTCAGCACAGAGATTTTCCATTTGCACACCACCATAACAGCTAACTACAGCAGATAATAGAATAACCTCATGTCATACGCATTCTAATCTTGGTCTTAATTACATTGTTTTTCGGGAAAGATGTTATTAACAAGTTCAGCTCGGTATAGAATTTATTCTTATCCAGATAATCGGTGCAAAACATAGGAACATAAACATTGATGACTAAATTGTTGCAAAATTTATCTTTATAACGAGCATAACAAGGTTTTATACGATTAGAAGTGGTCGCACTCTTTCGTGGCAGCCATTAGAGACTTTTAAAACGAAAATCGGGTTATGCATCACTGCGTTAAGAAGATCTTGTAAGGAGAATGAGGATAATAAGGCAGATAAATCACTAACACAGAGATAAATAATGCAAGCTGATATCAATTATTTTATAGAGAACAAAAATCCAGTACAAAAGTATTGAGACATTGACTTGGCGAGTTCTAACTCGTAAAGAGAATTATTGATGCATCGTATAGCTTGAAGCCTATTATTGAAATAGTCTGGTACATAATAAATTTCAGACAAGCCCTAATTAGCAATGGTTGCTAACAATTATACGAAGGATAATATAAAGTGGTCCAATTTGATTAATGTGGCATGGCAAAAATACAGCGAAATTTGATTGCGAGCCTTGTGAAATGCTAATGGGGTATAACCGATCCGAGAAAGCTGAAAGATAAGGCGGGTTTTGAAAGATATTTAGAGCTACACAGTTGCTAAATTAAGCTGAAGTGGTAAATTGAGTTCTTAAAAAATTTTGGAACGGAATAACTAAGGTAGACATTTCGCCTAGGGCAGTGGGTGATTTTGTAGGAAAAATGCAGCATATACAAATTATCATAGAAAAACACATAGATTAACATATATTTGTTCATATTCTCCTTCAAACTTTTCTGGTTTATCTTCATTAGCTATTAAGGTGAGAACCTTTCGCCAGAGCGTCAACTGGGAATAGAGAATAAATCATCGGCATGCTATTACAACATTTTATGGTAGGTTTATTCAAACAGAATTGAATTTATGATGGATCGAATGGGTTACACTATCCTTAATTTATTGTCACATTGAGATGAAATGATGTTAATAGAGAGAAAGTAGAGGCAAACATTGACAAAATTTAATATCGTATAAAATCAGCAGAAAAAAGTATTACTTACAAGTATACAACGTCTTAGCTACTCAAATCTGCGATAGAATACAATTGAGTAGGCGAAAGCAAACAGTAAGAAAGAATTCGCTATTTTCTTGGACAAAATCGTATTAATGATGGTCTTTTAAAAAAATAAGCAACATTTGTATAATTTTTGGATTTCAAACGAATTTTGGCTGACAATATAGTAAATTATTCTGGATTTCATATGAATTTTAGCGAGAGATTTTGGCTGAAAATATAGCAGATTATAATATTTGTCCTCAATCTTTTGCAAAATTAACGAATTTTTAAAAATCTCATTCAAATCTCATGAGTTACGAAAAAAAGAAAAATAAACTGGTTAACATATCTATTTGATAAATATCTCGACTTGTATAATTTGATAAATCGATTTAATTCGGAGGGATGAATTTGATAACATATTTAACTAATTGCAAACAAGGTCTCACCTAAGAGACTCACCTATTTTATGCGAAAATTTTACTAAAATGTAGATTAATTCAAAGTTTTATAATGATTTATTCTCAAGAAATAAGATAAGAGAAGCAATCAGAGCAAAGGAAAAAGATGGAAAATCGGATATGAATCAGCCAAGTGTCGTTGTAAGTAAATAAAATCTTTGATAGAAACATAGAGCGTTGTTAGCTAAAAGCACTGACTTCTGTTCATAATCTCCAACCTACTTAAACATAAGTTAGTCAGTCTAAGTCATCTCTAAGCCATGCGACGCAACATTTATTTTTTTGCAAAGGTTTGGTTATTCATTTGAATATAATTTGCCGTAAAACTATAAAACTTATCACTCATTAATTTTAATAATGGAATAATGAAAAAATGCCAGAATAATTAATTAATTATCGGAATATTTAATTCAGTAATTATATTTAAACTAATAGGCAGTTAAATGAATAAATTTCCAATTTCTAAAAGATATAGACATAATTATTTGATAAATTTGGAAACAACGAAGAATGGTACTTTTCGCCTAATTTTCCCGAATTTGCGGAAAAATAAAATCATTGCCTTTTGATTAGGCTCATTCTAAAGAAGGACAGGAATTCACCAGCACCACACAGATATGCTAGGTTCTCTTCAACTGGAAGATCTGTGATGCTTGATAGCCTAGCTACAATTTTTTTTCCTTCTAACATCTCATTACTGGTTAAGCTGGCTCTGCTGGCTACAAGATTAAAATGCCTCCAATTTGCTCGGTCCGATGCCTGTGCTAATAATAGAAGCCATCGTCTTAATCCAAATATCGCTGGTCCTTATGCCCGTTCAAAATCTTTGATTAGATCTTAACATCAGTCCAGATCTTAATTGGCTCTTTGAAGCAGGTTCTGCAAGTAGCGAAATATGCGCCAATATTCCTATGGTAAGCGACGAAAAACGTACCCTAACCAGCGAAGGCGACTTTTTGTGATTACATTATTAATATAGGTGGTATTTGAGCGAAGATGGATACAATGATGTGCGATTTTATCTGCTCGACGTGTAAAATTTATCCATGTTTCGCAGCCATATAGCTATATAGATAAGGATTTTCGGCTTTATGGTGATTTCACGACACCATAAAAGTTTCGACAACCAGAAAAACAATTTGTCGTTATCCGAATTGCAAATTCATCCTCTGCCTGGTCATTCGGTATTGGAGTAGATCCAAGATATATAAAGTCGGACACTTCACTCAAAAGGCAATAAATTGACAAAAATAGGTATTTTATCAGCTTCTATATAAAGCGAACAGTTTCTTTACATTGATTTTGAGTTCAACTCTCTTTTAACATATTTAGCATTATTTCCATTTATTATAATGGTTAGCAAAAAGGACATCATCAGCGTATTCGAGGTCTATGCTGTATTTTGGCCTGACATCTCATGAGTGCCGGCAAGCGATGCCATTATCCAGTCTATCGCATAGTTGAATATTGTATGGGAAAGGATGCGTCTTTGGCGGACACCAGTTTTTATTTTGAAAGGATCAGTCAATTTCCCATACAGACAAAGCTTTGCCAAGGTACGCTGATAAAAAGCCTTAATGAGCCGAATGATCTTCTCTGGCATGCCGTCACATTCCATCACTTTCCAGAATGCTGCTATATCAATCGGATCGAAGGTAGCTGAAAATCGATAAAGCAAGTGATGGTGGGTTGCTGGTATTTATAAATCTGGTCAGCGCAACCTCGTCCTGTTCTGATTCTAGCTTGGTTATGACGCAATCTACTATCTCTTGTTGCTATGAACCTATTTAGCAGAAGGGAAACGAAAATTTTTCCTGAAATGTCTAGTAGACTGATTCCTTCGTGATTTTCGCACTACGTCCTGTGTCACCTTTCTTGGAAACAGAATTACTCCAGTCTTCTGGTATTATTTCCTTTTGCCATACCAGAGAGTACATTTGTTGAAGGTGAGTTATGAACGATGATGGACAATATTTGAAGAGCTCAGCCCGAAGACCATTTTCTCCGAGAGTCCATTTTATTGGCCTTAAATCTATGGATTTCAGAGATAATTTCCTTTTATGCTGGCGGTTCGCAATTGCAAACGTATGGCTATATCTGGGATAGATATGGTTAAGTTTGGCTTCAAAAAATTCATTCCATTTTATGACGATTTTTAATAGCCCTTAGCAGGCGTCCCATTAATATTCTGCATTATTTCATAATCCCATTCTCGAGTTGGGGATAGAATGACTCAGTGGGTTTTTATTCGATTATTCGATCGGGAGCGCCGGTGCTGAGGTTCGATTCCACGCAGGAATAAATCTGTACAAAAATCCGGGTGATGCTGGCGACTCACCTGTATTTCTATCGCCAAAGGACTCTCTGATATATTGCTGTGACAAGACAGTGTGAAGCGAGTTTAACCAGTAATGTTGAGGACTCTCTCTTATTCTCTTTCTCGAGTTATAGTTTGCGAAGAAGGCGAAATAGTTCCACATGACTACGTCTTTTTCGATGGTGGAAGCATATATTATTAACAAAGAGCTCGAGACTTCGACAGAACGAAGAAGTCTCCATTGGCGCACTGGACCTTGATGCCATATTTGCCAATTACATTTGCCAATTCATCTTAATGGCACCTTAACCCCTCGGTTATGACCATTATGACCATGTTACTTCTCGGTTGTTAATACAGTTCTGTATACCCTATTGAGATCATCTGCGCATAAATTTGGATTACGTTGGACATCGTTAACACCGAAATATACCGAAATATTGTAAAAATTTTGCGCCATTTCACCGGCGAGCATATCCTGTGCTCAAGCCTTGGAATTATTTTATTATTAATATTATGCACGGATCTTATATTTTTCGCATACATAACGAGGTTACAAGTACCATGCGCATCAGAAGACATGGACGTCGTATCAAAGTGATCTGACCCTCTCATCTTAGAGTCACTTGAGGATAAATCCCCAGTAGCAACTCGGATTTTTGATACTATGATAGGTTTACTCCTGCCAAATACAGAAATAAAAATACTTAAATTAAAAAAAAAAAGTGTAGCTATAATCATTCGGCCGAATGTGTGTTGCCTTGTTTATGAATTTAATATTGCAACAATTTGCAATGATTAATAATATTAATATCACGGTGATATTGATGATGAGTTTCAGATGAACAGGAAAAACAAAAAGAATTTCTCAGCAGAATCCTATAGCTATAGCAAAAATGCATGCGCTAATAATTTTGATGAAGGAAAACAATTATTCGAATATGAAGAGTGAGTAATTTTCTATAAATTTGCAATTTACTTCGCATTTTGTCGAAACTGCTTCTTCGCTTTTTTCGTTATATAAAAGCGAAAAGCCCAGTGCCACACGCACCCATACAATTGTCCCACATATATTCACATCTATTGCAAATTAATGTTTTCTTCGCCCAAGGATTGTTATAGGAGAACAGCGCATAGGATAGCTTAGCATTCTCAATATTTAGAGAAGTAAGAGTAGTTTGTTTATGAAACCAATAATAAAAAATAAGTTTATGATTATGAATGATTAAGAAGAATGGTGGTGTTCACATAATTTTTAGAGATAAATGGAATTCATAAAAATAATTAGGAATATTTAATGCGAATTTTGTGGTAAATTGAAAAGGAGTTCAAAATAATTTTAATATGCAATTATAAATCGTTTAATATGAAAATGAGGAAAAGCCTTTCTAATCGACCCAAATATTATATATCCAAATCAAATTAAGCATAAAGCCTTAATACTTTGCTTGAAGTAACTTTGGAATTTGCTGATTTGTTGAATTTGTTCTTAAGTTACACTTTTAAATGCACAAAACAAAACATACAAAAGAAAAGTTGTGCGATATTGAAGTATCATTTGGACCCATTTCGATATGAAATGCTATCCATAACTGAAGGGAAATTTCAAATGAAAGCTAGTGAAAAAGCAAATTTTCTCATATCAATAGTTACCGCAATTGAAGGATCAATTGCGCAGTTAAAAAGCGCTCTTCTAAACGTATTTAAGACGAACATTTTGCTACTACGTTCTATTTACTTCCCGAATTTTGAACTGTTCAATTTTTATGCGCTCTTTCTTTTTCTAAGAACGCTTATCGTTGGGCGAGCTTAGGTTAGCTCTCAGCAAATGTCACTGGAAGATAGAAATACAAAAAAGTAGCCCAGTGCCACACGCACCCATACAATTGTCCCACATATATTCACATCTATTGCAAATAATCTTTTTTTGTTTGTCCCTTTCAAAGAAAATTAACAAAGAAATTGATGAAATACAGAGATATTTTTTGACTGACCACAATAAATGTAGAGTTTACCGTTTTTATTTGGTAACATTTGCGGTTCTCTTCGGAACTACAGATAATTTTATTTAAAGTATTTGAGTATATATATATATATTATTTCGGTCTATTTTTTGCATATTACGAAATTGTCTGAAAATGCTACGAAATTATGTAACAAACCTTTGCAACACACGACATTGTTTAAGAAGATACACTGTTTATCGTTTCACCATCTTTTCTGACAGTTTACGATTAATTTCAACTATTGTTAACAATGTTTACCGAAGAAATCGCTGTTAATTTCAAGTAACCATTGGGTGTCAAAATATTTCTTTTACTTCTGTTGCTTCTTCTTAGAAAAATCATTTGAGAAATCGAAGAAATGTCCTTTCATTTAAATGCTACTCTTAGGGCAACTGTGTCCAATTATTGTTCAATATTTCATCGATATTTCCAATAAAATTCATTCTAACTGATATTATTTTATCCATTATTTCCCAAATCATTCCTCTAAAGGTCTTATCTAGAAGATAAGATAGCGCAGTGGATAATGGCTCAGATAGCATATCGTATTTGGAGACAACTTTTTAAGCCTATTGTTAATCTGGCGGCCATCTATACTTCTTGTCAAATGAACCTGGCAAAAATTTCCGGTAGTATTAACAGCAAGTGAGACTAAAATAGCTAGAAAGAATGTTACTTTCCTAAGCATCTGCCATCTGCCAGTGTTATTCGTCGAATTCCTTATTGTTGGTTTCTGACGACCTACAAATTCGTATAAAGTTATCTTCGACATTAAATATAAAAAGATAGGGAGAATGGCTTAAATATAGCTTAAATTTTTGCCAGTTTCAGATATTTAGTTGTCAAAATTAAAGTTCCTTTGAATATCACAATTTTATTAAAATCTGAAAAGTAAACCACGCTTTGACAGTACAACTCTATGCAATTTAATTTAACGAAGATTTTGATTATATGGGAGAGAACTTTAATTATAACCCGTCGAATTTACAAACTGGTGATACATCGGCAAATAATTTTGGTGGAGAGATTAAGGTGATCCTACAAGCGGATAATAATAAAATTTATTCTCGGAAAGATCGAAGGTAATTGAAACATTTTCACTATTTCAGAATCAATTTGTGAAAATAATTGTGTTTATTATAGAACAGTTTCGGAAGATGGTTGGGATGTATTCCGACTTTTACCGTCAACATCGGAAAATTTGCGACGCGGTATATTTGAATTGAGATTTGCGAAATTTTCATTTCCTTAGAAAATTCTAGCTTGCAGAATAAAAATTAAATTAATCTCTTTATCTGTTGTAAAACTATTAAAAATAAAGCAAGATTTTTTTCCAAAATCTGAAATATTTTTTTAAGGTTTATGGTACAATACAAGTCTTCAAATAATCAAAGTATCAAGTTTCCTCGTTCTTTTCTCTTTAACCACCATCAGCAGCGTCCTCGCAAAGAGTTCATTTTTATTAATGACATCAGCAATTGGATGGAAAGACAAAAACGTCACAATATGTAATGACAAAGTGCCAGGTTGGTAATAAGCATTCGTTGAACATAATTTTCTAGTTAAATCTGAAAATTCTTTCTCTTCTTTTAACAGATTGCATCACCATTTCTGTAAAGTTTGCTGGGTAAAGCCACTTCCCATGTATTGATGTGTTGTGATATATTGGTAAATTTAGGTATTAAGTACGTACGTCCAGAGTTTTGGTTTTTGCCACTGATATTTGCCTGGTGTTGTTACCGCAGTTATCGATATATTGACTAGTATCGTTCATAATTCAGTTAAAAGAATTTATCAGTGTATTTACGATATATTTTTTTTGGATTAACTTTATATATATACATCTTATATATCTTCTGAATATCGACAAGAATGACTATAATCCAGTCTATTGCATAATAGAATATTGTAGGGAAAAGGGCATAATCCTGGCACCAGTTATTATTCCGAAAGAATCTCTCAATTCAGCATGTACATATTTATGCTGATGTATGGCTGTTAAAAGTCCCTCATAAGTCGAATGATCTTTTCTCATCCTTGCACTCCATCTCTATATCTCTAGAGCATTGCTCTATCAATTAAATGGAAGGCAACATGATCATGGATGCTGAGGTTTGAAGTGATAATCCAATATCCTTCTTAGCGTGAATTTCGTAAGAGTCTCATGCCTTAATCTAAATCCAGCTTATTTCGAGTGCATCCTACTTTCTCGTATTGCCATAAACCATTCAGTAGAACGAAAGCAAAAATTTTCACTTTTCAGAGAAATCTAGTAGACTATTTCCTCGATAGTTATCACAGAATGTCCTGTTCCTGTCACCTTCTTGGGGACTGGCAGTAGAATTTCTCAGCTGGAAAAAATCTCTGAAAATTATTCATTTCCAAATGATTTCTTGTCTACTTATATAATTAGTTTGTGCTGCCATTTTTTTTTTAAAGAGTCCTCACCATTACTGGTTAAACTCGCTCCGCTGACTTGTCACATTGGGCAATATGCCGGGAGTCTTTTGGCGATATAGAAATACCAGCCAGCATCACCCGGTTTTTTGTGCAGGTTTATCCTCCTATCGGAATTGAACCTCAGTTTCGGCGCTCCCTATTGAGCAACAACCCACTGAGCCATTCACTTTGTGTTGCTATTAGGTATATTTTTATTGATTTAAAAGTATGTTTTTCTGCTGATCATTGTTGTAAGGCTCCTGTTAAAGGCCAAATTGTTGATTAATTGTTAATTGTTCATTAATAGTCTAACAGACTTTCTGATAACTTAGAATATTTTCCATGAAAAAAAGGATTTTACATCTCAAAAAAAATTTTTTCACTTCTAATAGGGCGATTCAACGAGAAATATTATTTTTTATGGAGACGACTTGTCCTATTGCGCATAAATTTTAGCCTTTTATGCATTTTTTCCTTAGGCCAAACATAGATCTTTAAAATTAAAATTCTGTGCGATAGTTATGCGCTGATATTGAATAAAAATGAAAAACTAGCGTAGTTGCCTGAAAATTCACTTTTCTTCGTAAAGTAATTTTAAGAGCAATTGAATCGGAAAAATTGTATTGAAATACAACAAAGTAACTAAACTATTAGTTATTTTTTCGATAAAAAATAGTTACTGGAATTTTTAGAAAAACCTTTTATTTCCAAAAACTGGTTTGGTTTTAATTCTTTTCTTTTTTATTTTATTATTTACTTTGGAACAAAATTATAAAAATTATAAAAATTATAAAATTGAATTTACACTTTTATCTTTTATTCGATTTTGAACTTACTTTTTATTCTTATTCGAAGGCTTCAAGTGAATTAATCGAGTTCTTTTTTAAATTTAGTATTAATCAGTTTGATTTGAATGGCACTGATAACCGTTTATTTCATTTGTCAGTTTGCAGCTCGGGCAGCCATCTTCTAAACAATTGCATATTTCAAATTATTACCAGTGACAAATTGTTTTTCAGAAAGTGATACAAACACTGTTCACATAACTAATGGTCATGTGGTGAAATGGGTTTGGGCTGTTTTCTTGTCGCTATGTGCACCGGAAGTTATCTGTTTCATCCATTCATTACACAGCAGCTTCTTTCGAAATGTTAAAAGACCAACCGTTGCTCAATTCTTTGCTGTAGGATTATATAATATAATATGTCCGAAATTTCGACCTCTCGAAATGAAAATATTGTTTGACTAGAATTTCTCAATTTATAAAAGAAATTAATAAGTGTTTGGCGCTTAAAATTTCCGCCGGCGCTGAGCTTTTACTCCTAGCAGGAATAAACCCATCCAAAAATCCATGATGCTGGCGACTCACTTGTATTTCTGTCGACTCGTTGTGCAAATAGCCTACGGAGCGAGTTTAATCAGTAGTGGTGAAAGCTCTTCAAAAAAAATTTCTGATTAGACTAGCTGTTTGCACGGTAAAAATTTTTGCCAGGGAATGTCTAGCGATAAAAGCTGGTGGTTCACTGGCACCACTTAGACTTTTTAAGGAAAGATTTACTGGGCAAGGAATGGAACCTGTGGTACTGCGAATTGAATAAGCATACCACTTGACCGTCCTTACCTCCAGTATACTCACAGCAGAGATTTCTTTTCTTTTTTTATTAGATATTTTTATTTTATTGTGTTTCCCTTTATTGTCTTGTAAATTTGTTTTTTTTCATGAATTTGAGTTCATGAAAAGAGAAAAAAATTTAAAAAAAAATTTTAAATGAAGATTTCCATCTAAAAATTTAAGAAACTATGATCAGATATTTTAAATATATGCATGATTTTCAGATATTTTTAACAGAAAGTTTGCATGCTTCCGGATTAGGAATTCTCGTATTTCACATATTTCCGGATATAGATGTTGTCACAGGTAATAAAGACTCCAAACAAGTTGAATCGAAAAAATTTTCATTTAAAAATTTTCGTTCTATTCATTTTCTATTCATTTTTCCCACGTAAATTTGCATAAATGGAAAAGGCTCAGTTTAATATGAATCAATTCCATGGTTTTTGACTGCATACTATTCGATCTATTCCTTTGAACTGAAATAGTTCATTGCAGAATGCCCTTTTAGAGTATTATTATTACCTCTTTAGTGAGCATTTCGAAAAATGATACATATTTATAAAATGGTATTTATTTATATAAAAATAAAAAAAAATTCTGGAATTCTTCTTCGACTATAGATTTTTTGCTATGAATTCCGAGGCAAACAAATTTTTAAAATTTAAAATTTTTGAATCTTTAAAGCTATTCTTAAACGAGTTATTTGTTATAGGTGTTATGCTTACCAATTCAGTCTTGATTATTCCATGTATTTTATCATTGTTAAATCGGCGAGCAAGCAAATTTATTTTTCTAATCATTGTTGCCGATGTTATTTTTAGCTTCGTACAAATCAATGCCATATTGTCTTGGCCAGTAAACTTTTCATCATTTTTTTGATATTTTTAATTCAAAAAAAGATTGAGTGAGCTGGCTGATTGTTAGTTCACACTTGCCTTATGTTTTTTAATTCAATATTTTGGCCTCTGTTGATTTATTTGAATGAAAAAGAAGAAAACTAAATCAACCAAACCAAAATCCAAAATTTTTCAGAGATTCGATGAAACTTTGAAGAAAAAGAGTAGTTTACTGATTTTGGCATTGGTAATGATTTCGATAACATGGTGGCAGAATTTCACTCATATAAATGCTGAACTTTCATTTATGAAATGGATTGCAAAATTTGCGATATCACTAGGCGAAACGCGATCTAAAACCTTTGTTTTCGTTTCCATATGGAAATGCCTTATATATTTCATAATTCTTTCATTCTTCATTTCAAAAAGGTTGAAATTTTTTTTTTGCTGCGTTCATAATAAATTTCGCTTTTTTAAGGTAGATATAGTAAAGTAAAGTAAAATAAATAAGTAAGTAAAGCCAGAGAAATCTATTGTTGCCCATTGTCGGCCATTGTCTGTAGCTTAAAAATTCCATTTTAGAATACCGTATGATGACCTAATGCAGCAAGATCCATTCGGAGAAAAAATTATAACAATCACTGCCAAGAATCTAAATCAAACACAAATAAATAGTTTCTATAATCGAATGAGGAAGATTGAGTTGTCCGGCAGCTACGGTATGGTGCATGTCCGACTATATGTTTCACCACAAACAATCTTTTTACGCTCCTGTTTATCTCAGTTTTTATATACTTTTGATTTTTTTTCGAAACCTAACTTTTGAACGAAATATAATAAATTTTATTAACTTTAAGATCTCCCTATGCCGATAAATATAAAAAATAGTGCTAGAGAGTTATTTGATGAAACATCTGAGAAACTGGAAGCGACAGCGAATTCTCGTACGACAAGTTCTCAGCTCAAAAAGTCCATAATTGATGAAGAATCATTGAGCGCATACAATGTCTGTTTTTCTTTCTTGTTTAGTCGTTATTATTCATTTTTTCCTTATTTATTACTTTTTTTTTTGAAGAACACTCATCATTTCTAAACAGGTTAAGCTTGCTTTTTTGGCTTATTGGACCAGACAAATTTTACCAAGGAGCCACTTAGCGATAGAACTGTAAGTAGTTTTCAGTACCACTCGGGTCTGAAAAACAAATTTACTATCTGCGAATGCAAATGCCGAGCATTGGCACTATTAAAGGAGAGCAAAAACTTATAAGCGATTCGACTTATTTACCATTTGAATTTAAAATTTAATTTTGAAATTTAGATGAAATTTAGATCTATGGAGACTATGTTGAACTGAATCAATTTACAAGTGCCTACGACTCACTGTGGATTGTACTTCTCAATATGATAGCTGTTTTTCTTTGTTATCATAGTTCGAAATTTGCTTGCCAGGTTTTCTGCTTTTGTCGTTTTTGTATTAAACTTCTGAATAATATAATCTCCATCTATTATAGGCGATGATCCAGCAAATTGGTTTTACATTTCCTATGCTTCTGGCTGTACCACTAACAATAATATTTCTTGCCACTACATGTTTAAAACGGAGATTAGATTCTTGTCATGCTACATATTTCCTCACAAAGGTATTTTTTCATTAATTAAATAAGTCAATTCGAAATCAAAGCAGCTATAACCCATCGAATTAAGCCTTTAAAATTGCAAAAATGGATCGGATCTGAAAAAAATATAAAAATTTTAAAAATTTAAAAAATTTGTGTAAAAAAATTCTCATATTTCTAACTTGACTTTTATACAGTTAAATGAAACTGATAGAGTGACTGCCACAATAAATCACTTGGCAATTATGCTTAATTAAGACTATAATGAAACTTCTTTTCGAAGCTCATGCGCTAGGATTCTATTCGCAGCAGGAATAAATTTGAAATTAAAAAATAATGCTGACGACCTATCTGTTTTTTGTTGCCAAGAGGTTCTCGGGCTTAACCAGCGCTTCTAGGCTAATCAGAAATGATAAGATTCATGTATTTAATCAAACTGATGAAGCTATTGGTTTTTTAATCCTTAGTTATTACAGTAATTCTCAATTTTCATATCAGAGTCATGCATATCTTAAGAAGGCTAATGATGGCGCTTCTGTCCACTTACTTATTGTTGTTGCATGTGCGATTGCATTTATGGCTTCGTTCGGGGCTTTTTCAGGGACCTTTGTCCACTCTTCTCTTAAAATCCTCCCGAAGAAGAGAATTCCTTATCAGTTTAGAACTTTTCAGCTATTGGAATAAAAAATGCATGGATAGAAATATTATATATTTTAGGAATTATTCTGGAAATGCAATGAAGAATTTTCCACTTCATTCGAATTTATTACTTTGCCACAAACTTTACTTTGGTTCTCAACATTTCTCTGTCAACTTTGGGTAACAATTTATCTTTGGAAACCACAAAATGAACGACTTGCAACGAATGAAAAGTATCACCTATATTCAGTTAAAAGAGACTTTGAAGTATTAAGATTATTTGTTAATAAAGAATTATTACGTTGTAATCATCCAATGTTCTCAAGAAAATTTATGTAAATCACTATTTTCTAACTTATAAAAAGTTCTAACATTTTCCCATTAGATTATTTGTTCTTCCATACTACGAGAGTTATTTTATTGATCAATCATTGGCGCTAAATCGACGAAGAGATGATAAAGTCAAGTTACAAGCTGAGGTTCGATTAACCTATATCTTACTTGCTATACTGTTCTTTGCTTAATTTTGCCCAGAATTATATGATTAGTTGTGAAAAGATCCGTTTGTGGACGAGCAAATTCGAATTCATTCATATCCCTTACCCCTTTAAGTAATATTGTGAAGTAAAAATGTCGCTGAAAAAATGTTAAAAAATGTTATAATCTCTTAGCATTTTTTTCCAATGCTCATCGGACCCTATTTTTTCACCCCTATCAAAATTTTAATTAATTTTCCTCAGTATTCAATCCCCCATTAGCCTCAAAAACCTTGCCACTATCATGCAATCCTTTGGGATTTTATGATTTGCAATTCCATCTGCTACTAAATTGCGGAGGTATTGGGGTTATTTGGGGGTAAATGGCAAAAATAACGACTGGATGTGGAGGATGAAAGATAATGAAAATATGGCTAGATGTGGAAAAAATAATGAAATTCTAGGACAATGGGAGAATGAGTCGAAGAGAGTTTAAGGAGATTTTTAACGAAATATTACAGATTTTTGGAGATATCAAAAAGTTCCAACTCATTAAGCAACCGAGATCCCTCGGCCTGAGACTGCGACCACCTTTCTTTCATACTTATAATATAGTTATAATATTGTAGTTTTTTATATGGATAACATATAACTAGGAAAATTCACAAAATTCAGAAATGATTTCAAGAAATCATCGACTTTGTTTTCCAGGATTTTTTAGGGATTGGGGATAACTTTAGCCACGTAAGCATGAAGACAAATTCAATCTCCAAAATTATAAACTGCGAAGAAAAATTTATTCAAATAATTCAGGGATTTTTCAATCTTTTCTGGCGACTTTTCAGAGTCTGAATGGAGATGATTCTTACACTACTGAAGTCAATGGTTCTGTGCAAGGACGATACAAATCACCTCCTTCGTTTTGCAGCAGTTCATCAACTAAAAATGAAATTGGATTAATTAGGTTTTTTTCCTATTATGTGATGTGGATTCTGAAAAAAAGGTCTTAAAAATGAATAATTTCTTATGGGCGATTCCTTTTTGATAGAGTCGTATATTATGAATCGTTTGCTTTTTATTTAAAACCAGATTTCAGAGCATCAGCTGCAGATGATGTGATCAAAATATATGTTTGTGCGACAATGTGGCACGAAAGCGCACTTGAGATGATGTTCATGCTGAAAAGTATTTTTAGGCTCGACGAGGACCAATGTGCTAGGCAAAATGCACAAAAATATCTAAAGGCCTATTATTAGCGATTATTCTTTGGCACAATATCCAGCATTCAGATTTTGATATAACTTATCCTAATATCCTGTTACAAATATCCTATCCATTTAGTTCATTTCGCTACATTTTTATTTTAAGGTCATCGATCCAGATTATTATGAATTCGAGGTCCATGTATGGTTTGATGATGCTTTTGAGATAAATCAGAATAATGAAGTAGTTGTCAATAAATTTGTGAAGCAATTTTTAAGAAAAATTAATGAAGCGGCAAGGTAATAAATACTTCACATGTATCATAAGAAATTATGGTTCTGCTCTTTAAATTTTTTTAAAAATTATTTAAAAGTGGAATCCGAATCGGGATGTGTATTCTACTCGGATTATTTATTACCCATAATAAGTAAGGTCGCTGCCCGCTGAAGCATTCCATTGATATTCGAATTTTATTTGTCATTGAGAATTGAACGATTCTCTCTTTATGTTCTTCTCGCTTTCATCTTTCGTACTAAAAATTCAGTGCAGTTCATCAAACCCAAATGCGTTTAAAAACACCGAAAAAGATATCGACTCCATACGGAGGACAAATTATTTACATTTTGCCTGGAAAAAATCGTATGATTATTCATCTCAAGAACAGCCAGAAAGTGCGAAAACGAAAAAGGTGGAGCCAGGTACCTACCAAATTTGATTCAAATTCCATATTAAAATTAGTATTTATTATTTTTATTGAAATTTTATTTATTTTTAATTATTGAAATTTTAAACAATAATTGCCTAATTTCTGAAAACCAATGTGTATCATTCTATTCGCTGATTTCACAGGATTTGCAGTTTTAGGTGATGTACCTATATTACTTACTGGGATATCGATTAATGATGAAAGTGGAAGACGAAGCGAGAAAGGAGCTTATTTCAGAAAACACATTTATTCTAACTTTAGATGGCGATGTTGATTTTTCACCACAATGTGTGCACCTTCTCATAGATCTGATGAAAAAAAATCGGCGATTGGGCGCTGCCTGTGGTCGAATACATCCACGTGGTTCTGGTAAGCTGAATAAGTGAACTTTGTGTAGAAATCGCAGTTATAAAGCATTTATTCAAGGGTTCATGATTTGGTACCAAAAATTCGAATACGCTGTTGGGCATTGGTTCCAAAAAGCGACTGAGCACATGATTGGATGCGTTCTATGTTCTCCTGGTTGCTTCTCATTATTTCGTTCTCTTGCACTTATGGACGACAATGTGACAAGGCGATATGCAATGAAGGTTTTTTATTTGTATATTCGGTACCGTTAATGGTTTCTTATTACTGTTTTTTCGGTGTCTAAAGTCCTCTGATGAAAATTCCGCTTGACTATTAGAAATACAAGAAACACGATTTTTCCTTCATCTTTTTCTTTATTGGCGATTCTCTTCAGTCGGAACAACCAATGGAATACATACAATACGATCAAGGCGAAGATCGATGGTTATGTACCCTGTTGCTTCAAAGAGGATATCGGTCAGCATTTTTGCATTTCTTAATTTGTATTTGTATTTCTATTCTGCAAATCTCATGCTTCTCTCATCTCATTGACAGAAAGCCATTTAAGGCCATACTAAATTGCTAATTGTATTTTAGCAATTTTAAAGCATAGAGCAACCTGATAATCAAGATTTGCATTTGCTAGCATAACTTTAAAAATTAGATTCTGTTTATTCCGTATTGCATTTAAGAATATTTCCATTCTACCTGCATCGAAATATTCATTTTTAGCTTAGAAAAAATAAGAGATGATGAAAATTTTACTGCTTTTTATCGTCATCAAATTTTCTCCTCAGAGTTGAATACTGTGCTGCTTCTGATGCGCTAACTTTCGCTCCAGAAGATTTCAATGAATTTTTCAACCAAAGACGCCGTTGGATTCCGTCAACTTTGGCCAATACGATAGATTTATTAATGGACTATAAGAATGTGATATCAGCCAATGAATCTATTTCCATATGGTTCAATTTGATGGACTTTCCTTTCCCTTTTTTCGCTCGAAAATCCTTTAAATATATCATTTGAACAAATATTTTGCTATACAGTAAGCATATAGGCTAGCAAATCTTCATTGCAGGTATATAATTTATCAATGTGTCATGTTGGCTTCGTCGATTTTGGGTCCAGGGACAATATTTTTGATGATTGTTGGAGCTGTATCAATCTCTTTTAGCGTCAGTACAAGTGTGGCGCTATTAACTGTCACGTTTCCCGTCGCAATATTTTGTTTAACATGTTTTATTAGTGAACCTAATCAACAGGTAACTGTGCTTCTGTTTTATCAATTAGAGATTAAGGAGATAATAAATTTGGTAATTTACAGTTAACTGTTGCACAAATTATTGCTACACTTTTTGCACTATTAATGAGTGCTGTTATCGTTGGTACATCGATGCAAATTCAAAAAGATGGAATATTATCGCCACATTCAATTTTTTTACTTGTTGTGATAGCAAGGTAGTTCCTTTTTTTGAAAAACTCGGCTGTTGACTTTGTCTCTTTTTCTCTTGGAATGCGTTCATTCCGCTGACTCTCCCGTTCGAACTTGGCCATGCACTTCAGAGATTTTTATTTACCACTAATTTACAGTTAAAATCTCGAATACTTTGGTATATTTTATATATTATAATATTAATTTATTAGTCTGAAGGATACTTTTTACTGTACGACAATTTTCTGCGGCATAGCATATCACAAATTAAAATTAAAATCGACTTATACGAAGAGTTTTTAATTTCAGTTTTATAATCGCTGCATTACTACATCCACTGGAATTCACTTGTATAATACCTGGTGTACTATTTATATTGGCTATACCATGCATGTATATGCTTCTACCTATTTACAGTATTTGTAATTTGAATACAATTTCTTGGGGAACGAGAGAGATCGCTCTTAGTGAGCCATTTTTCCAAATCTATCTGTTCATAATTCTTTCTCATGAAAAATAAATTTATGCTTTCCATATTATAGGCAATAAAAAACGAACGACGATGCAACTGCGTTGGAGCGAGGAAAATAAATTAAACAATGAAGTAAAATTCTTTATTCTAGTTGACTTTAATATATTTGGAGTGAAGCACTGGTAAATCGATCGTGTAGCATTACTAAAATATTCCAGGGTGCAATTTCTATCGAATGCGGTAAATCATGCCGACTAATGTGCTGCTTGAAGACGGATTCCAACCCGACTTCTGTGGAGGCCGAGGTTGCCAGTTTTCTTGTCTTATTGCCAAAATTAGAGTTCGTTCAATGATATCAATGATTTTTTACGTAATTTGATAATAATAAGCCTTTAATCAAATTTCAATGCTAATTTTCTGAAATAAGATAATATATATATGTACAGATAATATAATATAATTTCAGATTTAATATATAGATTACAGATTTCGAAAATTAATGAAAAGATAACTGGAATAAGTGAAAAATTGGAGCGATTGGAAAATACAAATAGCAAATTTATCCAACGACGACCCGGTGCCCTTACCAATGGAAAAATTATATTAGACACGTGTAACGAAAAGCATGACGTTAGTTAATTGATCTCTTTTTTTTAACTTGAAATTACGTTAAATTTACTAAATGAAAATTTCCATCAATGAAATCGTCATAAAATAGGTTAAGAGATAACGATATTCCCTAGGTAAGACGCGCATTTCTATGATGTAGAATTTATAATTTTTTTTTCCCAAAAGTCTCAAATATCTCGTAAAATCTCATAAATTTGTTCATATATTAGGTCCTTGTCGATAATAATCAGCCATTAGATCAGTATGCAGCAGAAAATCGGAACGAAAAGATGTTCGACGAAGTTTGGATGAATGAAATAATGTTTCGACGAGCTGAACGAGAGATTCTTGAACCTGAAGAGGAGATGTTTTGGCGCGGTCTTGTTGCGAAATATCTTACTCCTCTCAAACTTAGCCAGAAAGAACAAGAACAAGTACAGCTTGGTCTCAACGAATTGAGAAATAAGGTTTGCTGAATTAATTACGATAACAGGTGATAAAGATCTCTTCGAAGATGCAAATATTTTTTCATGGGATGGAATCTCAGTAGATCCACTAGTTTTCAGGCTTTTCTAAAATCCCCCTTTTCTAAAAGCATTCAAGCATACAAAGACATGAGTTTACAGTTATTGTAATGAAGAAGAAAATTAAACAAATCCATTTTTTTTTTTTGATAATCCTCACCATTATTAGTTAAACTCGCTCATCGGCTTGTCGCATTGGGTAATATGCCATGGCGATAGAAATACAGGTGAGTCGCCAGCATCACCCCTATCTTCGTACAGGTTTACTCCTGCGGGGAACTGGGAATCTTCAGCATCGGCGCTTCCAATTGAGCAACAACCCATTGAGCCATTCTATCCCTAAAAATTATAAAATTAAAATTAAAATTGAATAGTTCATTTAAACCCAGTTGAATCAATTTTTAGGTTTCATTCGGCTTTTTCATGATCAATATCGTTTTTATTATAATTGTACTCCTATTACAAATGCAAAAAGATTGCATTCATATAGAATGGCCTTTGGGCCCTAAATTCAACCACACTATAGTACCTTGTAATAGTGATACACGCAAAGAGGTTTGGGTAATAACAAAATTACAGCTCGAACCTATTGGCCTCGTTTTCCTGGCATTTTTCATGTCGATTTTGATCATACAGGTGAATTTAAATTTATTAAATATCAAAAGCATCTTTTAATTATAAAGTTTATTTTATTTTGTTTATTGTTTATTACAGTTCAGTTTATTTTTACTGGAATTTTGATTGGAATTGGAAAATTGGAATTTTCTCACTTCAGATTTCTAGTTTTATGAAAAATTCTTCAGCATCGATATCGAATTATACTAACTCGTATTTATTAGATAATAAATTTTTATATTTTTGGTATATTTTTATTTTTGAAAATCATGAGTACGAATTTTACGAAAATTTTATCAAATTCAAAATTTATCAAAATTTTATCTTTATCTTTCTTCAGTTTTGTGCGATGTTAATGCATCGATTCGGTACATTGGCACATATAATCGCATCAACTGAATTCTCATGCTGTAAAAAACAAGCCGACCGATTGACTGAAGATGATCTTGTCGTACAAAACGCAGTGGAAATCGCTCGAGAACTGCAAGCGATACGCGGAATCGACGATTCATTTACACCTGAAGCATTGGTATTTACTGCAAATTTTTTTAGATTTTCGCAGTTTGTATCAATTATTCCATTTGGACTATTACTATTTGGACTATTATTATGGACTATCAGTAATGAAATAAACAAACAAACCACTTTTCTGCAGAAAAGACTTGTCGTTTCAAGACATGGCGAATTTTTCATTATCTAACCAGCAATTCTAAAACTGTGTAAAAATGAATATAACACTTTTCAAATTTCAAATCCTTATTGTCTTCTGTATATCTCAAAATATCATTATTTTTTCAGACTGAACGACCGATATCACAAAGACGCGTTGTTCAAAATCTCGAATTTAGTCGGCGATCTTTAATGGAACCGAGAACTGAAACTTTGGATGACGCTTTCAAAAAGCGTTTCTTTGCGCTGTCAAATGAGAATTTCGGCGAAATTCTGCGGAACGATAGTCGAGAAAGGCGACTAACATTAAGGAATGATACTATTCGGGCAATTACACAACGACGCGATTCAATTTTTGGTAGTTTTGGTGAGCGGGAAATGAAGGTCACTAATCTGATAACAAGTCTTTAAATTTCTTTTTAAGACATCGGTTTTCTTATCTTCTAAAATTCTATACGAATAATTCTATACGTGAAACACCGCAACTCCTCAACTTCTGTAGATAGAATTACATTCCAGGATTCAGTGAATGGTCGAAAAAATATTGTTCGAGCTCCAGCTCAAAGAAGATTAGAAAGGATTTTTAGCAATAATCAATTTGATATGAATATTTAATATTTATTGTTAATGCATTTATCAATTATCATTTGGATTTTTAGACATTTCTTAGTGAATTTAACTGAAGAGAAGAGTACCTAATTATCTTATAGTTGTTCGGCGTTGTTTTCATTTTATTTATTTTAAACTAAACTAAAGCGATAGATTGTCAGTTCTTTCCGTAATGGTGAGGCTCCTGCCTGTTGACGAGAATATGTGCCATTAAAAACCAAGTTTGGGTGGTTTTACTTCTATCCTCTCTCGCGAAAAGATTTCCAGCCAAAGCCAAAGCATAAATGGTCATAAGTGGATAAGTGGGTGTATTAAAAAAATAATATTTATAAGTATTATTTATGGGAAATGAACTTATATAATATTTAATATAGGGAAATTATTTGTTGCAAGTACGAACTGTAAGGAACGAATTGTTACAAAAGTGGAGTTTAGAACGTTTTAAATAATTGCATGAATATGAATGCAATCAGCCGTAAGCGCCTTAATGTTCGCAAATTGCTAATCTTCTCTTTAAAAATTTCGTTAGAAAGTATTCGTTAAAAAAGTTTGCAGTTGATGTTGAAATGTTGAACTTTTATTTTAATTGATTCCAAATCGCAAAAATCGAATGAACAAAAATTTCGAAAAGTTACATTTTTCGCAAACGTAGTAAATTCACAAGCCTTCTATTTACAAGCTGATTTAAAACTTAACTATCAAATATTTTGAATAGATCGTTGACTGAGTGGATTATTGTTGTCACTTCGGAGCGCCGATATTGCAATTCTACTCCATTCAAGAATAATTAAAATCCGAAGAATGCACTTCTGTCGTCAACTCCAAGCGACTCCTTGACGGAGGTGAACGATCTTCAACAGAAACGAATAAATGAAGTTCAACATTAAGAAAACTACATTTCTACTATTCTAAGGTGATGATTTGAAGCCGAATTATCGGGATTTCGAGAAAGATATTTCCGAGCATGTGGGAAACCTTTGCTTTAGATTAAAAAGGTCTGACTCAAATGCTGACTTTCTTAACCGTTTTTTAAAAAATCAGTCTGCTTGATATGAATTTGCATTATTGGTTTTAGCACAAATTTTGAAAAGCTTCGAGAGTTTATTGCTGCTGACCAGCAACGGCATTTATAACATTCGCTTTTAAAATTCACTTTCGAATAGAAATGTTGAGAGCTTTTGGAAAAAAGTTATAAAATTAAAATTTTAATAAAGCATACAACTGCGATAAGGAAAGAGAAAGAAAAAAATAAAAATTAATAAATGTTGAGTAAATTAATAAATTAACAAAATTAAGCAGAGTTAATAAATGTTCTAAATTGACCATAAACTGAAATGAACTGCTTTATTTTTTTAACGGCAATAAATATTCAATCACAAAAATGCGAGTAAAAAAGTGAAGTAAGGAATTTGTTATCACTTGCAGTCAGAAGTTATTTTTGTTCGTTCATTTTCTTAATTTTCTTACGATTTTTACCATGGGATTTGCATTCGTCAAAGTTAAAGCGAGAAAAAAATGTTCTGCATATCAGTTCTATTTTCCATACTTCATATGACATTTTTAAATTTATTTTAAAATTTTAAAATTTTGCAAATTTTAAATTTACTTTTGCGCGAATATTTCCGATTCTGGCATATTTCTGCACGCTCTATCTGTTATTCCCCATTTCGGTTATTTGAGCATAGCTAGCGCCATATAGCAGTGGCGGATATATCCAGCATGTAGATTTAATTTCAATGGAAAATCGTCTCCTTGGACAGTATCCAGCCAAATTTATTACAAGCATTTTTCAGTAAATGCAAAGCCATGAATATAAAAGATAACAAATGTTAAACGATAAGAATGACCAGTTGCTAAGTATTAGTTCTTCTAAGTATTGTTGATTTGACTGGAAGCACTGGAGAAAGAGAAAGCCCTGACCACTAGAGAAAGAGAGCTTCATGCCTTTCGATGCGGCGTTTAAAAATAACAGATAATCTATGCCCATATATCGTTGGTTCTGTATTCGAAATCCTTTCTGATCGTATCAATCCAGATTATGATTGGACCTCTTCACCTTTGATGCCATTCATCGCAATGCTTAGCGAGATCTGCAGCAATTTCTATGGTGAAGGACAAAGAATATGGCCTAATCGGCTCAGACAACATATTTTGCGGCAACATTCTCAACATAGATAATATTCAAATTGCTTTTTATTTTTATTTGAATATAACATTAATTTGGTTCAGTATCTTATTGAAGAATAAATTCCATAATAGTTACCCTACTATCTATTCATTCGACAAAAAAAACAAACGCCATGTGCTTGAATTGATAATAAAACATGAGATGCCAACTGAAACGATGAACAAAATCGAGATAAAATTTTCCCAAAGGCTAACAATGTTAATGGCTAACACAGAATGACACAATTATTGAAATATATATAAAATATATATAAAGAAAGAAAAATGAGAACCATTAATAAAATTCCTATATATCGGTTATAACCAACTTCGTATCGTTAGTTAAATGCGTTTTACATTATCTTTTAAAAATATCCAGGCGGAATGCACGAAATGCCTTAAGATTCATTCTAGTACGAATGAAGAAGTTATATCCGATATTTTTATTCTGCAAATGCCTTTTAATAATTTCAAACCATTGGTTCCCGTTGCACTCATATTTGGGCAAAGATAATGCTTGCAGCAGTCTAAGCCAACCACGTAAAATAAATTAAGACCTTTTTTCCTGATCTGTGTCGAGTCTAAGTTATTATGCAGTATAAATATTTTTACTTGTAACAAGTGGCAAATTTTGAATTAAGACGATATCACCAGTATTTCTTTTAATAATAGCTTACTTGATGTAGAAGATATTATCAAGAGCACAGTTCCAATAAATTTCCTAAAGGCAATTTTCCTAAAACCAAATGCTCTTTGTTATCCATTTATTAGACATCTATTATCGTCACGAATCACTGAGTGACAGACCATAAGTATACATTTCTAAATTCAAACTGTGTTCAGATTGTGCTAAGGACTTAAGCAGATAGCTCAAGATAATTAGGAGGCATGTTTCGACTAAGGTTAAGCATTAAGCTCGAATTTTATCTCTTGAAAATAGTAAATTTACCAAAAATATTTCTGAGATCTGTACTTCTAAACGCAAATGGATCTCTGGCAATGGGATCTTATTCCAGTGGAATTAACCAAATTAAGAAAGGATCCACATTCTTAGGAAAAAGTAACTGCTTGCTTGTTTTTTTGACTTAACTTTTTATCTGGGCGAAATATTGAAAAATAATGGAATGATAAATTTAGTTCACTAATAATTTAAAAAATTGGAACGTTAATAGATTATTAATTAACTCATAGGCTATTGAGTATTCGCTATAGTCTGCCTCCAGGGTACTACTTTTCTTCATCGTTATCAATTAGGAGTACGAATCTTGCAAACCTTTTCAAATGGCTCTAAAAAAGATATCTTCTTCTAACAGCTCTCATCATTACTTGTTAGGCTAGTATCACTGGTAAAAAGGTAAGACGCGTTTCCAAGCGATCTGATGCCATCGTCGACAGTAATAGAAGCCATTCTTTTTAAGATTTTATCCATGTATTGCTGATCTACTTATATATTCAAAGTCTTTCTTGACCTTGTCAGTCCAGGTCTTGATTGGCCATCATTGGCCTTTGACGTCACCCATCACAAGGTTTAGCAAGTAGCGAAATAGTGCGTCTCAATTCTTATGGTGGGAAACGAAGAACGTGCCGCGAAGGCGATGCTCTGTGGTGGTGCATTTGAACGAAGATGGATGCGATCAAGTGAGATTTTATCCACTCGACGAAAATATATTCTAGATATGGGTGGCCAAAAGTAGATAATTTGTTAATATTCTCCACTATGGTCAATGGAAACGAATTAATTGTTCGGTTTTTATTTTGTAGAGAACTCTCCATTTATGATTAAGCCTGCTGCACTGGCTTCAGCAGACCTAATTTTAGTCAGCAAGTTACTTGGCAATAGAAATTCAGGTTAGCCTTTGAAAAATTTGTACTGCCGGCAATAAAGTGCCAGTTTAAAAGCGCAAATGAGAATAACAAATTTCTAGAATTAATTGATGTCTAGCGAACTTCGTTCGAGAAAATCGAATGGACAATGATAATGCAAAAATGGTTCCAAAAATTTCAAAAGGATATTTCCGCAATGTGTTGGGATTGTCCACAGTTATTATGGCAGCAACCATAAAATCTACTTACAATATAGAGAGATGCTAAATTATCCATCTTTTCTTTATAGAGAAATTTACTTTGTGTATTTAAAAACGTCGCATTAGAACTTAAAAGTCTTTATACAAGAATGAAAGCGAACCGAAAAATGAATTTCGAAAGGAATTTCGGAATGCATCGATCTTTAATTTAAAGAAATTTATTTTCATCGACGGCAGATTTAGAGAGCGGTCCGCAGTGCTTTTCTCTTTCCACTAATGACTGCCCTCTCCCCAATCAGAGTTGACGAGTTATCCAAGTATGAAATCTATTTCATCGATGATCTTATACTAAATGGAATGGGCGATGGCCAAGCATCACGATATTTTGCTGAAAGACAGGTAAAATTGAGAACTTATTCATTTTCGAAGAAAAAAATGTAGGAATATCTTAATTTATCTTAAAAATTTTTCTCCCATCTCAAAAGCGATTCTAAAATTGTAAATATCTTCGATAAAATGGATAGGAAAAACGCTTTAAAGTAATAAATTTAAACGACGAACGTCGAGCATTACGGGATGAAATTTATAAAATTATTTTGCCTTTTTTCTCAGGATGTGCGACTACAGTGGTTAAATAATTCTCAGTTAACTTCAATATATCCGCGACTCTATTATTTTCCCCACTTCAATCCGATATAATATTTGCTGCAATTGGCAAAAATGCTATAAAACCTAAAAATTGGAAGAAATTTTTCTTAAATTAAAATTTTATGTTCGCTGTATAATCGTCGTAAAAATAATTATAAATCTTTTACA